CAGAGTGAAGGATGACAGATGAGAGACCTATCAGTTTGCTTTGGGATGTAACATGACTCCACCTTGGCTCCACACGCACATGGTGACACACAAGCATGCACATTTAAACGCACGCACAGCCAAACAGGACAAACATGAAGTCCGATAAACTTTTTAGCGTGTGTCTTTCAAGATCCAAATTATTTGCCTTTACACAACACAGATTTGCATGAAAAAGGTATGAAGACTTTAAAAACCACTTGACAATGAACTAGTTGCAGAAATAGGAAAACCTTCAGAGACTAACATAGAAGTCTGGAAGAGCTTTGAAATTAACAGAAATACTGAATAAATGTTGAAAAACAGAGATAGCAGAATGAAGTACTAAGCTCATGTTGTGCATGATACATTATGTGCATGATGATAACTGATTAACAATATTTCCCCTTTTGTTAGAATAACCAATGTTTTTGTACATTTGGCTGCTGCCTTTTGCAGATCTGCTTTTGCTTGTACAAAAGGGCAACACAAACTGTCTGTCTCCTGTCCATAGTGTCACCAGAGTTCACACAGCTGGGACAACACTGTTCCTTTCTACAAAGTCAGAGATAACTAAATCAGTCATGGAGGTGATGTCCAATTTCAAGGTCTGTGGTTATTCTTTTACTCACTTCTCCTCTCTCACAGTTGGAATAAAGTAGGTGATATTTAGCTGTGTATCCAGTTCAATTTAAAACAGACCGAAGCTCAGGACAGTGAACACATTTTTTTTCCTCTGTATCCAGATTATTCAATAAGCTCATGAAATTCTCATTGTGTTGTCCCCACAGGCTGTATTGAGCCAGTCAGCCAGTGCATTGTAAGCAGCAGAGCACACTAAAGCCAAACACTTATGTCCCAGATTTGAACTGTGAATGGAAAGCTGAGCACCAAAGCCCTTTTTGTCCTGACCTCAGGGTTAGTTAATAGAGTGCAAACGTTATTGCTCCAGTCCCTGGAAGGGACCAACAAACTTCTAAGAATCTAGTTAATTTATATGTACTTTGGTTTAAGTGTATGAACTCAGTGTGCAAAAAAAAGTGCTCCAGTGAATAAGTCTGAGCAGAAAAAAATGAGATGAAATCCAACAAAAGAATTACAGTCAACTGACTGCAGGCAAGACAGACCAATGCACTGTAGTCTCTTGTATCTGTAAATGTTCTTATGTGGATATATGGACATACACCAGTTGCAACACACTTGTGAGCTGCACATGCACATGCAGTAAGATTGGCGGCAGACACGAAGAAGAACAAGTTTTTCTGCTGGAATGGGGGAGGATGGATCCTTTATTTTAACTGTTCAAGGTGAGGTAAAACAAAAAAAGAAAAAAAAAAACTCCATTCGTGTGTGCTCAAACTGCAATGGGAGAGTCCGATTTTTGTAAACAACAGCTGGTTTCCCTGACCTGTCGCCCTGAGCGCCCCACAACGAGACCTCAGCGTTCCCACATTTCCTCCAGCATCACTGTCACATAGAGCTGACCGAGACAGATGGTCTCACGTCCAGTAGCTTAGTTTAGTATTCTGAAGCTTGGCTGCACAGACTCGTTGGCTGGCTGGATGTCCTCACTCTGCACAGAGAGCCTGGCTAATAATTTGTCAGCCCCTGTGGGGTATGAAGCCAGGGTGTCAACAACAGGCCCAGTGTTTCTGTGGCCAGCATTTGAGATTAGAGTGATCCGGCCAATCTGCAAGCAGGAGTTGGGGGGGGGGGACAGAAGGGGGTGAGAAAGGAAGTGAGGAGGAGTGGGTGGCTTTCCTGGTCACTCTGAGGGAGGGTGAGGAGCTTGGACTGTGTTTTGCAACAGTCACAGTCATTTGGTGCAGACTTAAAGGGCACTAGGGGCATATTATTCACCGGGAATGGTACATGGTGGTGGCCACAAAAGCAGGAGAGCACACAAAGTTGTGACAGTGTCCACTCCTTCCTACCAGTTAATGCATGGAGTTCCCCTCATGCAAACAATACCTTTGTTTTTTCAATGGGAGAAGAGTTGTGCAACAATGTTCCCTCCTTTGCAGTGATAAGGCTTACCCTTAGAAATCTGCAAACACAGGAAGCATGGCATCAGGGTGGCAGAACGTGATATCTGATTCTGATGCTGTATGAATAAAGACTTCCAGGACCAAGATTATTATTTCAGCATTCATACAGGTTGACTCCTCTCTGCAACCAGGTGTTAAAAAAAAACACTTTGCTCCACTATAATCTGCCTGTACCCGACACAAAAATCAAGTGTTTATTTAATACATCACCAGCAACACAATGCTTTTTTTAGCATTTAGGCTTTCGGTTAATCTCACTATATTTTTTATTTTACAATGTAAGAATAACAGACAGATTTCTGTAGCCCTCTATGAAAGGCTGTGTATGACATCTGCATGTAAGCAAACCTGAAAATATACACTCATCTGACATCTAGTGGCTGAGATATATAAGTGCCCACACACCTCCAGTGTTTGGGGTTTTCAGATACAAAGCAAAGTAACAGAAGATGGTTACAGATGACATATAAAAGTAAGAGAAAGGGCTCTTAGGCTTTTAGAATCAAATGTTCCTCCCAATAATTTTTGCCCTTGTTGCTGATCGGATATTGTTGGTACAACAATGCAGTCTGTCATTGCAAAGCTGTCTCAACAAAAACAAGAGATAACTCAAACAAAAGCTAATTTTCCACACATCATTTGTGTACATAGATTACACTTTAGAATTCTGACGGTTTTGTCTGTGATAAAAGTTGTTTCTGGCTATGGAGAAAGTCTACAAAACTTGAAAATAGAAACTTTCTGCACGCATGTTAAGAGAACACATCATCAATGAGTTGACCACAGCTACAACACAGAACAAGGTAGGAGGTGAATTCATGCTTGAAAAAGAAAGCTGCCGAAGCATAATAAAGATGTTTATCTGTACTGTCTGCACACAAAAACACTGACCCCGCAGTAATCACACACAAGATCCAGCCAGAGACATGGTTGAAATTTAAATGCCCCTAAAAAAGCGTGCTGTTTGCCGTTCACATGAGGGATAAAAATCTGAATATCAGTTTGTGGTCGAAAAATGGGGTTAAGATTGAAGAAGCAGAAAGGCTGCGCCAAAGCAAAACACCAGGTTTCAACACCGGTCCTCTTACGTCAAGATGACTAGCAAGATAGGCAACAGAATACCTCTCTTTATGTTCGTGAACAAACCCTTCCTGTAACTGATATGTTTTCAAATCAAGCCTGTTCGCCTCAAAAGATCAACCCGGAGATGGCCCATAGTTTTAGGCTTAGACCTCCAACGATCCACCTGCCCTTACTCTGCTCTCCATACCTTCCATTTCGATTATGACATTGCTGTTGTCATTAAATTGTTTTACATTTTGTAGCCAGACTCCCTTACCTGGAGTTTTGATTCTCAAGTCTCTTCTTTTATGACTTCTCAAAGACGGATGATAAAGGTAGATGGAAGCATGAACTGACTTTAACTGAGTTGAATTAAATTGATGGCAACAAACGAATTAAAAAGGTTTAATTCCCAAATTATTTAAAAAACCCTTAACCATGAATCCCAAAGAATTGTTGCTGTAAAGCAGAAAAGTTACCTTTTTAGATATCCCACCTTTAGCCAAGTCTGTGTATGATAAAATCAGAGGTACATTAGAGTTAAACATGCATGTTGTTGGCAGGTGGTTTCTGTAATTATTTTGCATTCAATCATATTTAAAAATTCTCCAATCAAATGAGAGGTTTACTTTCACTTGTGTTTTAAAAGACCTCTTTCAGTCAAGTTGAGTCAAACTTTGTGCCAATCCTGTTTGGGATATTGCATTAAAGTGACTTTGCCACAGATCTGAAAAACAAAGCAAAACAAAACTCAGCCATTAGTTAGATAGTAACATAACAAATCCCTTTCACTTATGTCTCTAACTCCTTGTCTGCTGGAAAGGAATGTTTCTAAAAGCCTCAGAAATAATTCCAAATTCATAATGCACCTGAAAGAAAACAAATGCAAACACTTAAACTGACCCTAATAGATATATAAGTCGGTATAAAATCTAATCAGCAGATCATTTGCCAATGCACACATCCACTGTGGGTTAATGCAAATATCTGGAAAGGAAATATGACAGTGAAAAAGCTACCCTGTATGCAAAGTAACATGCAAAACCACTACTGAGGTGTCACAAGGTGGTAAAAAACTTGATTACATAATTCTTTATTGAAACAATTAAAGTAAATATACGCATGCAATGAAACTTAAAAACAAGATCCCTGTACTGTTGTGATCAAAGAACACGCTTTTGTGTGTTTTTTATCCTTTTCTCGCAGTGGCAACAGTAACAGAGAAAATTCCTCATTGATTTGTTTTATGTCATGAGCAACCTGAAAAATCAATAAGATCACATTAGTTGACATTTTTGCTGTGACAGCATCTAAGGATAGGTGGGTTAAAAGGAATTTGAAGCTTGTATACATCCCCAAGGGTAGTTAAACCAAAGCTCAAACCACAAGCAAATATCAGGAAAATTTCCCGGAAGGGTGAACCATACCTGGGCAACATGCATGCAAACACCCAGACAAGATGGAAACGCAACTTCTCTTCTCACGTTTTATAGCATCCTGAAAAACTCAAAAAGACTTAAGTAAAAATACACTTTTTGAACCTCATCACTTTTAATGTCCAAACAATGTGGATAAAATCAGGTAATGAAACAATACAGTCTTTATGTTTTTTGTTTTTATAGTTATTAGTGTTATCAGTGTAATTTAAAATGTATTATCATCATCAACCCCACATCACAATGAAAAGTTCCTGTTCATTCAAACCACTAATGATTATATTGGTCAGTTAATAAGGCTCATTTCATATGATTTAGTGACATGCTCAACTGGTCCAAAAGGGGAGGGCCTGTGGACTGTCAAGCAAGTTTGCATACCACCATATTTTGTGATGTTCTGGCACATATGCGCACTGTTCTCCAGCTCTATCTGCAGTCCGCAGCATATATTCATCATGGATTTACATTTTGTTCTCCTGGTCGTGTGCTGGTCGTCCACAGCAAGTTGCACAGTGACCTCACCTGAGTGGTTCAGCAACATTTCCACAGACCTTTTCAGTTCGTCTGGGAACATAAAATTTGGAGGACTCTTCCCTATCAATGAGCAAACCAACAACCTTAGCCTGATTACGGAGCCAAACAGCATCAAATGTGAAAGGTAAATTATCTCCACCGTCTGGAATTCCACATCTGTGCGTGTGGTTCACCTGACTAACACAGCTCCTGCTTTGTTCTTCTGTTTGTCTGTTTTTATGTGGTACAACAGTGTAAATAAGTATGGACTAGGTCTCGCTTTGGCAATGAAGTACGCAATGGATGAGATCAACGGAAACCCAAATCTGCTTCCAGGGATAAAATTAGGTTATGAAATCTACGACACCTGCAGACACTCTTCTGTCCTTGTGAAACCAACTCTCTCGTTCCTCACTGAGAAATCTGCCAATGTCCTTTCTGTGGAATGTAACTACACCGACTATGAGCCCAGCATATCAGCTGTGATTGGTCCACTAACCTCGGAAATGGTGTCAGTCACTGGAAAACTCCTGGGATTCTTCTTAATGCCACAGGTTTGAAATCACAAACATCAAATATATTGCCACGTAACCTGCTAAGAAATCATAAGTCCAGAATTTTATATCAAAGTCCATTTTAAATTTAAAAATATCATTGTAATATTTTCTTGGGTCTCATTGCTAGTTCGTTCATTGTATCATGATCTCAAATACATGATAACATGGAAAACAAGACCAGTCAGATAGTTCACATCAACGTTTACATGAAATAATATAATGAATACATAATGTAACCATCAATCCATCCGGCAGGAAGAAAAACTTCCTACAACCAAACAAACACATTTAAGCATAGTTCCAGGCCAGAATTTCTTGCAAGGAAATGCAAAAAAATAAATAAATGCTAATAGGATTTTTACTTTATTAGATGAAAGGACAATGCAAATAATTTTTACTTTTAGTTTTTTCTAATTTCTCTATAGATTGGGCTAGATTCTCAGTTGAACATCCAATGAGCACTAAAATAAACTGCACTCTAGACTTCAGTCAAATCTTTTTGTGTAATTCTTATTTAGGTATAAAACTGTCTGCCACAGATTTAAATGCAAACAGATTTTCTGTTCTAAACAGAACAGAATAATGCCATCAACGTTTGTTACAATGACACTGAAAAGTAACCATGAGCACACTTGTAAAAGTTGGAATAATGGCAGACCTGTTTTTATTGGAGCTAATTGGCGGTCTATAAAAGATCTCCAACTCAATCCAGTTATAAGGTCTTTCAATGGTATATTTTCAACATCTATTCACATCTCTTTGAACGTGTGATTTTATTAGAGAGGGTTAAACAGGTTAAGCTTGTGTTTGAAAATAAATGTTTATCTGTATACCTCACAAACACAGGCATAGAACAAAACTTTGGTTGCAAGAAAAAAGCAACATTATATGAGCCTCCAAACAGTTGGCTGTGAGTTGAAACCTTTCTTATTTTTCTCATTTTCATGAAAGCTAATTATAATTTAGATTATTGAATCATAATATACAGCAAGTATGATTTCCATGAATGAACTAACAAACCTAATTTGAAGGTTTTCATCAGTTTTTAATCCAAATGTCCGATAACATTTACTCTTCTCACCCAGATTAGCTATGGTGCGACCAGTGACAAGTTCAGTGACACCCATGTCTACCCGTCATTCTTCCGCACAGTACCCAGCGACAAATGGCAAGTAGATGCCATTGCACGTCTCATGAATGAGTTTGAATGGATGTGGGTTGCAGTGGTAGGCAGCGAGGAAGAGTACGGACAACGAGGCGTGCAGCAGTTCTCCAAAATGGCAGAGAACATGTCTGTCTGTGTGGCCTATCAGGGTCTGATCCCCGTGTACACTGACCCTGCACCAGCAGTCAGGACCATCATTACCAACATCAGAGCAACTGAGGCCAAAGTGGTGGTGGTGTTTGCACTCTCAAACGCCGCTGAATTCTTTTTCAGAGAGGTTAGTGTGGCGAACAGTCAAAGCACTTCTGCTGTTGTCAAGAGCATTGAAGCAGACACACTCACCATACTGCCTTTCTTCCAGGTTATAAAGAGTAATTTAACAGGCATATGGATAGCCAGCACAAGCTGGTCTGTCAGCAATCGAATCACTTCCCTCCCCAACATCCACACAGTTGGCACAATCATTGGATTCATCGACAGGACGAACACCCTGCCTCTGTTCTCCAACTATACGCTCAAGCTCCTCCGAAAACTGAGTGAGGAGAAGAGAGACACATCCCCGCCAGTTCAAAAGCCCGGCGACCCCTTCTACCCCTGCCCAGAGTGCTGGAGCTTGTCACCTGATAACTTCAGCCTGGTGACTGACGCGGCGGTTGAGAGGGCAGCTTTTGGTGTCTACGCTGCCGTCTACAGCGCAGCACAGGCACTGCACAACCTCCTCGATTGCAGTTCAGTTGCTTGTAAGTGGGGGCCCAACACCAAAGTCTATCCCTGGAAGGTAATGTTTATTATCATCCATACAGGTGAGTGTGCAGAACCTGTAATCAATATTTTGGTACTAACTTCCTTTTTAATTCAATTATTTTTTTCAGCTGTTGGAGGTTTTAAGAAATACCTCAGTTGAAGTGAGCGGCCAAAAAATAGAGTTTGATGAAAACGGCAACCCAAACATAGGTTACAGTGTGTTTCAGTGGCTGTGGACAAGCCCAAATATTGAGTTTAAAAATGTTGGGCACTACTATCAAGAAAATCTGACTGTGGACAAAACCCTTTTTGAATGGCACACTAACACCACAGAGGTAATTTTAGAAATTCTTTTGAATACAGTTATCAGCACTCTGATGAAAAAATGTTTAATCTTGATCTACATTGGGTCCTCAAGAAAAAAATTGTCACCAACATTTCCGCAGGCTCCTAACTCTACCTGTTCAATGGCATGTGCGAAAGGCCAAGTCCGCAGAGTCAAAGGCTTTCATTCCTGCTGTTATGACTGTATAGACTGTTTGGCAGGCACTTACCAGGCAAACGATGGTAATGTGTATCACTATACTTTCTTTTTTGCTGTTGTTAAATTAATCATTCAAAAATGTTCTTACGTACATGTTTCAGCTTCTCTGTTATAGTGCTATATACAGTAGTATTGCTATTATGATTATTCGTCGACCTCTTAATGGCAGAGTCTAGTGCTACAAAGTTGCTAGGCAACCAGAAAAGACTGTAGGAAGTCATACATGCCGTTAAGAAACAAGGCTGTTTCCTTCCAACAAAGAAAGGAAAGCTGGTTTCCATGCCTCCAGTCAGCAGATGAGGCAGTGCCTGTAGCTACAGATATTAGACAGAGTTTTTTCACATAATTCACATCATTTTTTAAGATGCTCACAGTGACTGTGTTTGTGAAAACATTCAATTTCCTGTTATTTTTTCTGACTCGTAGACGACATCCAGTGTGAAGAGTGCCCTGAGCGGCAGTGGTCCGAGCACCGCAGCACTAAATGCACTGACCCTGTTTATGACTATTTAACGTGGGACACACCTGAGGCCCTATACATGATGCTGGCAGGGATTGCACTGCTGATATGTCAAGGCTCAGTCGGTGTGATGTTCTTCATGTACCGAGGGACCCCAATGGTGATGGCTTCAGGGGGTGCCCTGAGTTTTGTGGCTCTTCTCAGCCTCATGGGAGCTTGTTTAAGCCTGCTACTGTTCCTGGGACAGCCGGGGGATGTTGTGTGTCGTCTTCAACTGCCCTTGATCTCCATCTTCCAAACACTTGCCATATCCATTATTATGTCCATCTCATTGCAGGTAAGTCATGAAAGGTAAACTATTGCCCCCTAGAGGCTGTCAGCAATAATAGCACTGCACCAAGGTTGTTTTTACAGTTATTACTCTTTTTTGTTTTGTAAAGGAAAAAAACATAAAAGTCTCCTTTACAGAGACTTTGTCTTTCTATAAGAGGCCAGATGTTACACTAGATCCTAAAATTTCAATTGAGACTAAAACTTGATATTTTTAAAATGATATTAAATCCAACAATGGAAAGAATTTTTTTTAATGCCTAACTAGTTATTTATGTCAAATTAAAAGATTATTTAAATAAATATTTCGGTGCTTAAATGGACAATTGGGAAAACAAACTAGGTTTAGGTTTAGAAAAAGCTAAAGCTACCCAGAGCTTGTTCTGTAGTTATTTAGATGTAAAAATCAGAGATATCATTTTCCCTCGTCAAACATTTCTCAGTTTCGACCTCATAGATTGTCTTTAGATTCAATTGGCCAAAAATTATTAAGAACAGAAAGATGAAACAAAGAGTGCACATTGCAATTATCTTGTAAACTCTTGTGTTCAAACAGATTTTCTTTGTGACCGAGTTCTCAAAAATTGCTGCTTCTTACCTGCCCACGCTGAGAGGTCCTGGAAGCTGGTTGGTGGTGCTCATCTGCTGCGCAGTGCAGGCAGGTCTCTGCGGCTGGTTCGTTCAAGAAGGACCCTCTCTGACCAAACATATAGCAAACATTGAAATAAACTTTGTGAGGGCATTTCTGTCATGTCCAATATCTTCAGATAAACTGGCTTTAATGCAAGGTTTAAATGGTGCAATGGCTCTTGTATCGTTCATGTGCACATTCATGGCTGTTAAGCCTCTTCATCAGTACAACCTTGCAAGGGACATCACCTTTTCCACCCTGATTTACTGTGTGATTTGGGTGATTTTTATTCCAATCTACACAGGCTTGACAGCTTCTGTTTCCACTGGGTCAAAGAACGTGACAATGGTGCATGTTTATTTTACTATGGCAGGAAACTTAGGACTGGTGGTTGGTTACTACTTCCCAAAGTGCTACTTGCTTGTTAGAAGATCAGAATTCAACACGGCAGAGCACTTTTGTACCTTCCTAGAGGGTGTCCCACCTACCCCACCTGAGGAGGAGCCACAGCCAGCACCTCAGGCAGACAAATAAATGGCCTTCCTCACAACAAAATGTAATGACTTCTCTTGTCCATGAAGAGACTGAGATGCATATTTAAGAGACTATTTTCCTTTGCCTGATTCATATGACGTTTGAATGTTGGTGTATTTCATAACTTAGAACCTAATAAAACAAAATAGCTACTGTTTCATTATAAATGTGTTAGTTTTATTGCACATTACAGTCATGTAAATCTTTTCATAGCAAAAAGCATATTGTAGAGAAGCACTGTAACAGCAGAATGTCGTGTATACTTTCAAAACAGTGCAGTTGGTACATGTAGTTCGATGGGTAAAACAACCCAAGGATGTTGTTTTTGTGTGTTGCTTAGAATGTGATCAATATCTACAATTTAAATAAAAATCAAAGGTACTGTAAAGCATTACTGTAGACTTTCTCTCTTCAAATACTTTATGATCTGCTTTAACAGTGTGACACTCATTCAAGCCAACAGAAGACAGCTTTGAAACCCAAGAGGGCCCCAAATATTAGCCCTGATGATAATGAGTTCGATCTATACATGTATGTGTGTTGGCTGGGCTACTAGTTAGAGCAAACTGCACTTCACTGACTATTTTTATAACTGAACTTGCCTGGACCACCTTTGACCACCTATTTAATTTAGGAAGTTGCTAAAATGCTAAAAAGATATAAGGTATATCATGTCATTTTATTCCATTTTATTCCTATACTTTTACCAGAGCATCGTAACAAATGAATTCAAATTTGCAATAAATTTCACAACAACAGCCTCTACTTTTAATTTGCCATATTGCCAACATCGAAAAAAATAAGAGTTGATTTTTTTTCTGATGTATTCTTTAAAACAAAGAAATATTCAGTCTCCATGAGCAATGAGAAGGTTTTTTTTTTTTTAAAGGCTAGTCTGACTCCTTGCTGGATAATATTTTGCTTTCAACTCTACACATCGTGTATTTGCAGATAAAGACGATGCCACACGGCCAGAGCTGACTTTCTCAACATTATTTCGGTCCCTGTAGCGTTCTGACTCCTGTTAGTCCTCTCAGTAAAAATGTCTTAGCAGTCATGTACTTGATGCTTTTGCAACATAATTATTGTGCAAAAATGTAATATTTTATGTCTAAAGTCTTAAACAGTAATAAACTATGAGAGAAAATAAGTCGGACGTCATGGAGATGGGTCCTCGGTGCCTGTGAGGCTGCATTCAGGGACTGTTTACCCCCGTACGCCTGACAACAGTTGCTAACAACTCGGGCTGCTGCTGGGCTAATGCCTGTCCTCAGAGGGGACGCTGGACTTCCTCGGTCCTTACTAAATGCCGGTGAGAGATACTCTTGTACTAAACAGCGTAACACACGAGCAGCAACAGAGCCGTTAAGTTTTTCATTTCAGCTAGTTGGGGTATTTTTTTAGTTTTGTCACGTTAGCATTACGTAGTAACTGGATATTTCAGTGACCATTAGAGGCCCCCTTGCACTAGGGTTTCAATCATCTGCTCTGAATAACCACCAATAACTAAAACAAAGCTAAATTGGTTATGCTTTGCAATAGCATTCATGATTGGATTTCATTAAACGCAACACCAACTGTTCAACCTATTGTGTTGTCAAAATTGTGTATAATTGCAGCATTTCCTTTGTAAAAGAAGACCATTGTAACCATGCCTCAAGGGAGATTGACTAAAAGTGCACGTTCACAAAACAGTGAAATGGAAATTGATGGCACAGGTAGGCCAGCATTGCTCTTGACCTCATTAAGTATTACTGCTCCTGCATGACACGGCCAAACTGTGAAACTGTTCCTTGCCTAACAGAACCAGAACTAGCCAAACTTCACAGACAGCTGAGGATTATGGAAGGAGATCGGCAGGCTTACATCATCCAGGCCCGGGAACAGATCCGCAAACAGCAGTGAGTAATATCTCTTCTAAAGTCTCATCATCAAAAGTGAGCATGTGTGTGTTTTCTTTATGTAAATTATCCACTCTGTTTGTGATGTGGATGGAGGAAGGAGATCGAGAAGCTGCTGAGTGAGCGAGACGAGCTGCACCGAAACCTCGGCGCATGTACAAGCCTTTCCCGCCAGCAGCAGGACGGTGAGGACACTCAGAACCTTCAGGATCTGCTGAGGCAGAGAGACGAAGTGGACGAGGAGCTGGAGAAAGAAAAGCAGAGTCAAAATGAGCTGCAGAAAGAGGTTGTTTGGGTTCTTCTTCTTCATCTCCTCTTATCTTTGTTCAAACCAAACACAGATCATGTCATGTGTCTGTAAATGGGTAGATCTTGAGCATAGAGTCAAAGCTGAAGGTGCTGAGAAGAGGAGTTGTCAGTACCAGTGACTCTCATAGGCTGGAAGTGCGGAGGACTCAGAAGGCGTTGCGTACCTTGGAATGCAAACTGGACAGGGTGAGTCATCATTCTCTCCTTTACAAAGCAACTGAGAAAAACCTGAATAATACACATTTACTGAGGTGCATATTTTCATTGTACATTATATTTATATATTTGTATATACATATGAAAGATTATATTTCAGTAAAAAAGAGATTGCATTGGTGTCATTTTTAGGCCTCCACCCAGTTCAATGAGCAGCTGACCAAGAACAGCCAGCTCAAAGAGCAGTTGCAGACTCTTCACATAGAGCGAGCCCGTTTCTACCAACTACACAGCAGGCTCGACGAGGTCAGAGGCCACATCATATAAGATTATAGAGACAAGCAAATGCTGCTTTTATGAGCTGCTTTTTTGTTGGTTGCTGTTTTTGTCCTGCTGTGGTCAAATTGAATAATGTGCCTCTATATGCTGTAGGAACTGAAGGAAGTCCGCCAGAAGATCGGGAAAGTAATCAGCATGTCCACTTCTGCTTACGACGCAAGGTGGGATTTTCGATAGTTTCATGTTGTGGAAAAAGAGAAGAACATGCTCCCTATGTTTGTTATCTATACATTAGGGTGGAGGCCCAGAGCAAGATGACCATGATGAGGGAGAAGGCCGTGAAGGACCTTGCCCAGTACAACTCTGAGATGAAAGAACTTGAGAGGGTCATTGCACATGAGTTTAGCCTGAAAGAGTTCATGAGTGCCAAGTGCAGCGAGAGGAGCGGGCAGGACAACGAGCATGAGATGGGACAGTGTAAGAGGCACCATCTGTTTTTGGCACAGACGGAAAAGCAAAAGCAATGTAACCCATTTAGTAACTACACAGGATGGACAAATATAATGAAGAAATATAAAGAAAATCTTATTCACAGCACATGAACTCGCTTAGGAAAAATTCTTAAATTATATGGTTCCCTAATTCAAAATTACCTACAACAACAAAAGCATTAAAAAAAACAAAGCAACATGCACATTATGGCCTTTTGGTATCATTACGCGAAGGACCATGCTGGATAAGTGTTAGGAATGTATAAAAGAAACACTCATAGGAAAGCAAAGATAAGAGTACTGACAGACATAGCTGTTTACATTTTTTTTTTAAAGACTTGATTTAAATTGATGAAGAAAAGCATTCAAACTCAAGACTCAGACTGCTGATAGGGTTGTGTATATGTGTTTACTAGTATCTGAGCCGAAGGACCAGAAGAGGGTGGACTCCAGGGAAGAGTCGCTGGATGCTCTGGAGGAGGTTTTTGAGAGGATTCAGACTGTGACAGGGGAGGACAACCTGGATCTGCTGGTGACCCGATTCATCCAGGGTAAGACTAAACATCTTCATATCAATGGGCATATGCAACGAGCTTACTTTGCTTTGTTTTTGGCCTGATTCCAACAACGTTTTCTAGCACTTCTTATTTAAGTTACTGGGGGGAAATAAAAGCAACCTCTTTGTGCTACAAAGGTGGAAGTGTTTGTAATGTTTATAAATTGCATACTCGTACATGAGGAGGCAGCAAATGTCCTCTCCTTTGACATAGTTTGACCATGGGTGAACTAATAATTTTCTTTTAGTGTATAGATTTTACATTAATTCCCACTCCTTGAATTTTATGTTTCTATGTAACATTTTCCTTATTGCTGTTTTGTTATGTAGTCGAGGACCGAAACTTTGCTCTCTTCAATTTGGTGAATGAGTTAAACAAGGAGGCGGAGACACTGAAGGAACAAATCAGCCAAGTATGTTTTTTTAAATTCTGATCAACTTTAACATTCCATTAAAACACTCATTTTATTAGTATTACAAATAACATGTTAGAAACACTGAACATAATGGGATTATGTTCAGTGTTAGGATTGAAGTCTCTCTCAAAATATTATGAAACGAAACATTTTAATATGTGGGCTTATGTAATTTTGGCAAATTAGGGAGAGTAGGTTAACATTTCCCAATATGTACTTACCTGTCCGTGCCTCTCTACAGATTCAAGATGAAATGGAGCAGTTTCAGGGTAAAAGCTTGCAGCAGGAACAACATCACAGCTCTTTGATGAAAGACATAGAAGAAGAGCAAAAGGAGGCTGAATCTAGGGCACAAGATTATGAAAAAAAAGCCAACATCATAAGCAAAATCCTGGATCAGATCAAAACAGGTTTAGTAATGATTTGTTTGGTATATTAACTGTATAATAGATAGCCTCTGTTTGAATATCCAGTATTAAATTAATATTGACAGGCTGGCTGGTTTAATGGAGCTCAGGGTATATGTGCATCTTCTCAAATCTGCAGTCAGTAATTGAAAACTCGCTGAAGACAAATAGCTGATTAATCATACTGCTGTTATGGATGGATATGTACCAAACACAAGAAATACAAACTTGTTTGACTTTGCAGGAGTAAACAGCATCTTCTCTAAGACGGGCTGTGACCGCTCAGTGATTGAAGATAAACTGGGCTCCTCTACGGGGATCTCTGACAGCAACATAATGTCCTATCTTGCTGTTGTGGAGCAGAAGACCAACGAGCTGCTCACTATTCAGGCTTTCCTCCTTTCTAAAGTCAGAATTCAAACTTTTCTTTGAAAATTGGCTTAACTTTTCATAAATATTCCCATTGCAGCTACTGTACTTTCTTTCATTTCCGTCCTGTGTTTCTGTACATACAGGATCTGGAAAAGGACTACAATCCAAAAGACCTGGCCAAAGTCCTACTGGGCCAGAGAGATCTTCTTCAACAAACAATAGGGATCCAACCTGCTCTCAACAGGTCAGCCGTGTCTTTTTTTTCAGTCTATATGTTTAAAATCACATATTAGCAGTAATTAACACCATTGAGTTGATCATCAGTATGCAGCACATCGCAGAGGAACCTCTTGGTACTGATGAGGAAGAGCGACCCCTTTCACAAGAGGAACTTCGCAGAAAGATAATGAAGGGGGTCAGTGCTGTGAAATGGTAGATGTGATGAGTCGGTGCAATCTGTATTTTCTATTTTCATTTGATTTCCTGGTCCTTTTTTTATGTTTAGGTTATGCAGAAAGAGAAATTGGCCCAACGTGTACCAACAAAAGCCTCAAAGATCAGTCAGCAGCGTGATGACTGACAGCACACCCTGGAGGATGCGCCCCTGGGACCCACTGATAAAATCGGCTTTGTTGTGTGCAAATATTAAAAATGATGTTTCAAAACATGTTCATGCATTTAGCAGAGGCTTTTATCCAAAGCGACTTACAAAGTAGAATATATACCTGTGTATTTCCCTGTCTGGGAATTGGACCCCAGTCTCCCCAGTTGTAATAGAAATCTGTGCTGGTCGTGGTAGCTTTAATGTTCTTGCTTGAGCATGCAAACATTTAAAGCTTAATTACGTTGTATGTTTGTCACCCTTTATCTTAAATGATTAAGCATGGCCTTCTGCGTTATATAGGGGGTGATGTGCTTAGTTGGAGCTAATTAGGTTCAGAGCAATAAAGACTCTGGTAACCAGCTGTCCCTTTGATGTGTGCCTCGCCATCTGGTTTTGACTACACAGTCTGGTCGCAGTACCTCCACCCTCCCTGGCAGAGCCTCCATTAGTGAGCCGTGCTGCTATGCTTGCAGGGAAAGGTTGGGGGCAGCAGAGCCTTTTGTAATTTTAATTGACATGCTGAGAGGATGAGACGGTTTCACTTTTCAGTCATTATGAACAGATTAAAACTCAACTGAAAAGTTCTCTTGGATATTTGGGCTTTATTGCCAATTTTGAACAGGAAATGGCTGCTTTTCCAGACCTCTAGTAAAGGAAGAAATGACCCGTGTCCACGGGAAATCTTAAGTGGGAAGTTTCAGATTAAAGGTAGTGACTGTAAGGCCATTTTTACACATCAAAAACATGAACTTTTCCAGAGGATCGGGTCCACACTTTGCCTGTAATTGCTTGCTCCCTCTTACCTGAGACGTTTCTCTCTGCAAAATGTCTCATTATAACTGAAAGTACTACTGAGTGGCACCTGGAGAGGCTCAATACGGGTGCAGTAATATTGGTGTTACATCTTTTTGTGGTCAAGCGTAAAAAAAATATATATATATATATATATATTTATATAAACAAGCAACATAAATTGGTCAGATATTTAATTTAATCTGTATTATGTAAAACAACAAAACATAAATCTGTTCAATCAGCATATAACATAGAATGTAAGACGGTGCAACTAGATTTTAGTTACACTATCAAAGATGGTCTGATTTTATTTTCCATTACTGTAGATTTTACTGTACACATGTGGATGGAGACTTGAATTATTTTTCTATTTAGTTTTGCAATATTGTAGCAGGGTTTGTTTTTTGTTTAAACACTCCCTTTAAGAAAAGGCTTGTAATGCAATAAACACATACACAAAAGGTAGAATACATCCAATGCTCATGGATTGTACACAGAGTATCTAAAGTTTGTGTCTGTGATGTTTGTTTAAAGGTTAAAGGGAAAGAAACTATACATTTTTGGACATGCAAAAATACATTTCATTTGCATTGTAAATGTTATGAGTTGCGTTAGGTTTTAAATTGTCTATAGATATGAATGGGAGTGTGTGTGGTTGTCTCTGTGTGTCCCTGTGATGGACTGGTTGTACCCCGCCTCTTGCCCAATGTCAGCTGGGATAGCCTCCAGCCCCCCACTACCCTGCTTGAAATAAGTGGTATAATGGATGGATGCATTTTATGAGTTGCATGATTTGGAAGTGTTTAATGGTTAATGCGGAAGAAATCAAACAGTACTCCGGTTGATTAAATTTGAATTGTAATTGAAAAAAGTGTGTCTCAATTTGTGACTGACAATATTCAGAAATTTAGGCCTGAATGTTGCGTATACATAAGTCAGCATGTGAGAAAATTGGCACCTCATAGATCATATATATATATATATGTTTGTACAATCTTTGTGATGAAAATGCCTTTGTTTTAATGTCTAAGTCATTTGAAACCTTTCTAACCTGTGACTAATTATTCTTTATGTAATCAAGAGCCACATTTTATCAGCCAAAGAAAAGCATTTGCTAAGACCTTCAAACATGCCGTGATGTGATCTTTAAATAAACTTTTCTGTCAACCTGGTTCTTTGTGTGCCCCAAAAGAGTCTTTTTTTAATAACACAGAGTCTCGCAACTTTATAGTTAATTCATACCAGGCAAAGTACTGTATGTTTTCCATGTGTTTCTGTAATATCAGGAGCATCCAACATAGTCAGAGTGGCTTTTTAAATACAATGATTTTAAAAAAGGGGAATTCACTTTGATCCTCAGTAGTCTCAAATATCATCTTATCCAAACATCCTGCAGCGAGCATTTGTCAGGGCAAAGATGGCAGTCGCTGCAGAGAGCAGCTTCCTACTCACAAGAGAGAAAATCAGGATGGGGAGTTTATTTTAAGCCACTCATTTTTGCTAGCTGTTCAGTGAAACAATTAACAAAGCATGTTTCTATATTTAGGTTTTAAAGGTCAAACTGGTGGTGTCATTCATTTTTTATAGGCTGTGACAAAGAAAACATTATTCGACAGACTTAAACAAAAGAGAGAAATATTTAGGTTGCTGCATTAATTCTATTGAGTTCAGTCTTTTTTTAATCAACTGGTCATTTAAAGGTCTTTTTTTTCCAGGTAGGCTTTGACAGGCAAATTTTCAGGAAGTAAAACCGTTCTTCTGTGAGAATTTCTGACCGATCAACCAATAACTTGGTTTGCCCAAGATAATCTCCTTTGTAGTCTCAATTTAGTAGCTATGAAAACAGATTATCAGATATGAAAGGGTGCTGTGGTGGCAAAGCGGGGGGGTGGAGGCGGCGGGAGATGAGATGAGATGGAGGAGGCTTCGTTCTTTGAAATTCAACTCTCACTAAGCCCCCTCCACTCCCAACAAATTCTCTGTGCACACGGCTCTCCGCATTGCCATAGTAACCTTCCTTTCAATCACAACAGAAACCTCATTTCCTGCTCCTGACAAAGAGCCCTCATTGCCTGTAGAGGCTGCCCACATTAGCCATTTCTTAGACCCACCTCCTACAACAGGCTCAGCCTACCAGCAGCAGCAGAAACAGCAGACTTTTCTTACCCCTCCTATCCTTATAAGCACATTTTTCACCTCTCCTCGTGCTATGACTTGACCGTCTTCACATTTGAACCCGAACCCTCTGACACGTCACCTATCCCGTATCATGTCGGCCCTAACCTCCACAGGTGTGACTGAGTGGCAAGCAAGCGCACGCTGAGCTTCTAGCAGCTCATACCTGGCACTGACATGCTTGTATGTGTCTTCCTCTTGTCAAAAAGCAATGCCAGTAGTGTGTTTTCCAGCAGGTCCCCCCAGTCCACCAGCAGCTCTGAAGTTGTGCTCAAGCTCTCGTCAATTTATTGGAGGCATTTATCTAAATGCAACCAAATGTTTCCTGCAGTAAGTGCTCCACTTCCTGTCTGTGGACTTGTTCTGCTTTTTGAAACAAACTACTGCTGGCGGTGAAATGCCTTGTTCCCTTTATCTCAGATAAAGCTGTTATCTGGGCCCAGAAAGAACCCCTGTCCTCTGTCTGCGCCGCGTCCTCCTCCCCATGTCGCTCTGCCTTGTTTGTTTATTTGGGACCTTTGCCAGGTATTTCCCCAGTCAGACTGCCTGCCTGCACCCACAACGCTCCCTCCCCTTAAAGCACGCCACACCTCCCCACCCACCCTCCCACCCACCCTCCAACACTCACTCCCACCCTCCCACCCATGAAAGTTGCTAGGCAACCACCCACCATGAGATCTGGTACATTTAGCAGCCAATCAAATGACTGAACACTTTTTGAAACAGCGCTTATGAAAAAGCAAAGAGTTTGCGTTGCTCGGTATAAAACCAAGTCTTTCGGACGAGCTGCCGACATTTAGGCTCTGCAAACGGATGTTACTGTCTCACAGTTGTGCTTCCTACAGAAGACTTTGATGATTTTCAGTGAGTCCATCCCCCTCCCGCTTGTTCCAGGGCTCCACCACTGGGTGGCGGCACGCTCAGTTTCTCTGTTGCCACACAGGCTGCAAGACATTTTTTACTGCTGTTGCTAAGCAATCCTGACTCTCATGTCTTACCTGTGAAACATTTCAGATTTTTACAGATGTCCCTGACACCATTTTCTCTTTGTTATCACCATTTTGAAAACCACCCGATTCCGCCAGGAAACAATAACTAAGCTCGGAGGCTTGGCAGACAAATCTTATCACATCTCAAACAGTTAACCTTCTGATCCAGTTGTTCATTCGAAGCGAGTGTAGACTAAACCAGCCTGCTTTTGCTAGGGAAATGCCTGAAAGCCCCACAATGATGGAGATCCAACTGTGGGTTAAATATTAGCCCTGAACAGTTTCAGTTGGCTTCATCTCATCATGCAGGAGGCAGGAAATGTGCTCTTGAGTGATTAGGCCTGCAGCTCTTGTCTTCAGCAAATGGAGTAGTCCGTGTACACTTAGATTTGTTATGATGCGCAGCTTATTGTTTTCTCTGGGAACAAAGATCCGAGATGTTACACTTCATTTTTTTTATTTAATGTTCCAGTCTTTATCTGTCTCTTTTGGCTCTATTCACTTTTTTATCATTCAATTGTTTTGTGTTTTTACTCTCCAGGTCCCTGCCCCCCTCCACAGTCCCCTTGTGTGTGAGTCCCTCATCTCAGTTTTGGTTGCTGTGCAGATGGCTCTTTGTTAGTGCTTCACAATGGGTCTAAGGTCAGTGTGCCTCATGCCACTAACACACTCAAACTTCTTCACTCCAGCTGTCTTCTGGCTTGATCTAGAGTTTACCTAAACAGATTTTCCCTCAAACATCATCACCGTTCACGTGTAAACGGCTGCATTTCTGCACCATATTAAGAGGAAGTTGTAAAACCACAGATACAGCGCAGCGATAGCCAGGATATATCAGGTTGCACACATGCTACAATATCTTGTTTTTTATTTGAGAGGCCCTTTGTATGACCAATAAATTACATTTCTTTAATCTTGTGTCAAGTAGTATGTGTAGTCAGTTTTGAAGCATCTCTGAGATAAATCAAACAAGAATATGAGCCAGAGAAATAGAAATGCAAATCTACCATCTGCTATGTGATCCCAAACCTCCCTGCCTTCATCAGTCAGGAGCTAATGTGGTGGTTGCTCATTGCTCAAACCCTCATGTTCATATGGCTATGTGATACTCTGTATTATGAATAGCAAATAAAGAGGAAGTGTGGTATAAGCTACTGAAAGAGCATGTAACAATAAAAAAATCCTTTCTGTCTGCCTTATCCTCTTATTACTCAAATGAGACACACACACAAATAGCACTCTACACCTTTTTATACCATGTATATTAATATTAAATCAAATTAAAAACATGAGCATATGTTAAAGTTAGTGATACAGAGGAACATAAGTGTTAAAAAGCAGACAATGTTTAGTCTATGGGGAGCACATTTTTCTGTGCGCAAGGTAAAATCTTCAGAGCACCACAAGGTTGGGAAACAAAGCCATGAGGAGTTAAGGCCAGCAAGCAGCAGGACAGAGCAGGTAGAGTGAAAGAAAGGCGGGAAACTAGAAGGAGGAGGAGCACTTCTTGCAAAGCAGTGGGAATTACTGGAAATTTCCACTTTCCTCTGGCAAGACAGCCACAGGGGTGGAGCTAAGAGGTGAAATAAATAAGGTAGTAAAGCACAAGTTTAACTCAAGCCGTGTGATTGCAGGAAACCATTTGTTACCCCGACCATTTGCCCCGCACTAAATCTATGAGCGCTTTGATCTGAACATTATTTGAAAACCCAATCATGCGTGATTTATTTAGTTGTATGCGTTTTATCATGTGCAGCTTTGTTTTAGTGTAGTTTGCCGTCCTTTATCAACAATACTGTTCGCTGCCGAAAAATCTGACAACATTCAAAGCTGCTTCTATGTTCAGGGTGTGATGATTGTTCATTTGTGAGGATAATCTGCAAAAGAAAGCAACAGGAAGTCCTGTAGCAGTCCAGTTATGAACCCAGACTATAACTAGCCTTTTTAATGTTAACAGAAATTCTAAATGTCATGTCATTATCCGTTCATTCAACTGCATACTCCTATCCAGCAGATTTTAGGAGTGTGATGTGAGTTTCATGCTTAAGTACCTCAGATAACCTTTTCCCATCATCCTCCTGTAGCTCTTGCACCCCGTGTCAGCTGGGAGATGTAGTCCCTGCGGCACACTCTGGTTGTAAGCTTTTTCAGCTGTTCTCCATACACCCTCAGAGGGCACCTGTGCAGAGTCTGAGTTTTCAGCTGCAAAGGCTTCAATAACATACTGTTTACAGAACAACTGCACCACAATATCCTGCTCCTGATTACCAAAAACAAGGAAGGCAACAGTCATTCATCGCCTACCTATCCAAAGAAATTCATTTGAATAATGAACATTATCCACACTAGTTAACAAAGTACATACACAGACTTTGAATTGCATCTCTAACTGTTTTAAGACCGAATAAATAATAATATATAGACATTGTCAACAATGTGTTTTTGTTCCCACATGAGAAAAGTTATACTACTTGCCCCCAAAGTAAAACTTAATGAAAAATAAGATACAAATTGACAAACAACTTATCTGAAGACTACCATTTCTATAGCACTATTTGCACAGAACTGTTGTTTAAAGCAAGTAAATATTGATTATGAAGAGGATAGCTTTGGACCACCTCTGGAGATTTAATTGGAAAATGCATCAGTGGGGCACTACCAGTGGAAATGTTTCCATTATCATACTATTGACTGTACTTAATTGTATTAATCATAGATGAGCAGCGTTTGTACACTCTCCCCATGTGCATTTAACTGAGGAGACCCAGTGAGAAGTCGACATTATATTGTGCCTGCTCCCTGCATGGGAAGCAGAGAAAGGCAGCCAGACCTTGCAGGACACTGCTGTTTAAAACAAAAGAGCTCAGTTTCCCCCCACCAATTCCTCCAATTATCGAGACCCCTCCCCCACCAAATCCTGACCTTTGCTCTTTGATGGGCCCCACTTTGGTCTTCCCTCCAGCACTAACATTCCTCAAGTGAGGTTAGTTTTGTCTCCAAGAAGTTAAGGTAAAAATTTACCTGCTTAAACTTTTTTTTTCTTTTTTAACCTGCAGTCTCTGACGCCATCAGTTTTTCCAGGAATACAAACTGCAGCAAAATATTTAATAGATTTTTAAACATGGGTCATAATGAACACAAGGAAGCTTTTGTACACTATTACTTTCTGTGGTCTCTCAATTTTGGGTAGCATAAGTTTTCCTCTTCCTACGTGTGGAAAGTGTGGTAGCAAAGTAGCTGGCAAATAAGGGGTTGACAAAAAATCAAATCTTTCTTTTTATTTTTCAGCTTTAAATGACATTTGCCAGCCAGATTTGCTTGCTTCAACAGTTTGCTCACCTCTTTCACCCTTGAATTGAGAAAATTGAACAGAGTGCTAAATTTTTTTCCCCTGTGTAGAAGATCAATGGCACATGGAAACATGTCTAGGTTGGTAAATCAGAAAAAAAAGCAGGAAATGATCTCACAAACACTCCCTCTCTCCCTGATTGCTCCCATTTTCCAGTTACAGAGAAAGAATGAGTAATGCCTTCTGCTTCTTTTTAGCAGGCGCTACCATTGCTCTCATTGATTCAGAGCAAGTCAGCACTCATGTTTTGACAATTACATGGTACATGCTTCAGTGTGTGTGTTTTTTTTAAATAGTCTTGACTTTTCATGTCATTACTAATATGCACATTTTTTCAAACTAAAGTATAAAACTGACACCATTTGTTTACTTTTCATAATTACTCTTGGTATAGCATACCAGAAGCATCAGTGTAGAAAATAAAATAACTCTTACTCATAAATTGTATAAGGTCATATGGTTGAACAGCGGACTCATTGTAAATGAGAGAGCTTTGAATGAAGAAGTAAATAAATCTCTTTTAAACCAGCTCCAGACTGTCACACAACCCTTTTATCTCTGTGTGTAATTATGCTCCTCATAATTATATTTCAGCTGAATGTGTAGTGAGTGACAACACAGGCCACATGGGCTTCTTTAGAGTCAGCAGCTTAAAAGATGGCACGGCACAGGGAAGATAATTGAGACGGCGTGGGATTAGCTTTTCGAAGGTCCTAAAATTAGAGGGTTTAGAAAAACTTGCGTTGAGATATTCTGCCTGGATGTGTTGGGACAGGTTCAAGTAGTAAGGGTTCCAAATAGGGAAACGTAAGCTGTTGCATGGTTTGCTATGAGATAACTAACCTGTAGGTTACAGTGACGTGAGAAAATGGCAGTAGATATCATATATCTAACTTTGCAACTGACTAAGAATGAGGAATTGGCCAGCTGCAGACTTCAATAACAAAGTTCAGGGCCCTCAAAGTTGTATGTTGCCACTTCCTTTGGTTTAACAGATGGATGAGTGACTGCAGTGGCGTCAAACAAAGCTAACCTCAATGAAGTTCTGAGTTAGAGGGAAAATAGCAGGTTTGAAAACAGCATGTCAACGGTTTCTTCATGAAAGTATTTCATCTGCCTCCCTGCAAATATGAATTAGACACTTGAATTTGAAAGCATGCTTCACTCCCATATTTCATCAACTACCTCTCCCACACATCATACTGCATTGCTTCAGTCTTTGTAAAATTTTTAATCGTGCTTGTGGTAATTCCATCAAAGTTGAATACAGACTGCCCCTCATAGGCTTTGAACTTTGTACCCTCTTAGGAAGCAACACTACAAAATGTACATCACATTTAACAGTGTAATGATTTACCCTTACAGTATTGTGTGTTGTAAAATATGCTGTCCTACACACCACACCCCATTATTCTCTCTTACACTGGAAAATCAAAGGCCTGCACATTTATTGGTTATCTGATCCTCCTTTTTTGGCTAATTTATTTTGCATATAAAAAGGCTTATGTTTATGTATAACTTTTGCCTACTGACAAGAACATAAACAACTAAAGACAATTAATTTATCAATTTCCAAGTATCAAAGAAACATTAAAAAAAATCACTAGACAACTGATGAAAATATAATGTCAAGCCCTTAGATTGATCCTGGTGTTGCCCAACAGTCCTATTTAGTCCCAGTGAAACTAAATTAAAATCTGTATTAAAATACATTATTCGCGCTGATTGGCACAGCTGGAACAATGTATGCATACATAAAACAGCTAAATATGGAAAGGAGGGGTGGCTGTCGGCTTTTTTACACCGGTACATGATTCCGTTTTGTGTGTAATTTGACACCGAATTTGCGTAGAACGAACCGTTAAGACAAAAGATGCTGTTCTTTGCCATGTCAGCTTAAAGTTTACCAATCAGCCTGCAAATCAATACCCGCTTGGTATTAAAATCATACTGAATGTGGTATTCTTAACAATATGTTCACTTATATCGATTGTTTGCATATAAGTTGGAAGCCAATTCAAACTGATGGTTAGTCGAAGAAAAGGACTAAGGTGTCACAGTGAAGCGCTTTAAACAAAATCGACCAATCATCAATGAGCTATTCGGTAGGCGGGGAGATTCAGTTGAGATTGACAGAACATTCTGCCAATTAAATTTCTGTAAGGTTGATCTCGACCAATCATGAGCTGGATGGAGCTGTCGTATCCAACGAGAATGGATTTTCAACGAGCTCGAGAGAAAAGCGAACAGCGGCAGACATCATTTCTCTCTCAGCGTCTTTGGATTAAACACACGAAGACACAGAGACAAGAAAAAAAATCAAACAGGACTATTATTATTATCTAAATAAATTAACAAAATTAGCCATGGCCGACACAGCTGTTGACACAACCGCCACCACAGAGGTTACAGCCAAGGTTCGTTTCATTCAGTTTTTTTTTCCGGTTGAACAGTCGTGTGAAAAGATCATAACTTTTAAAGTAGTTGCGTTATTTCTTTCGTAAATAGTTTTTTCTCATTGTGTTTTCAAAATATTCGACGGTAGCATTAGAGTTAACGTCACTCTTTCTAAGTTCACCTAACAATTGTATGAATGAACCGGTTTTACTCGAATTTTGACGTTTTGCTTTTTGCCGAAATTCTTTTTAAATGTGCTGATTTAGCAACGAAAATTCAGTCGCTGGTCATTTTACGTCAAAGCGGTCGTTCTGCTCTGTCGAGGTTGAAACGTTTTAGATGTAAGTTGCTTTAAAATGCCCTGTTGAGCAGACAAAGCGCTACAAATCGTGCATCTGGTGGAGAGAGCTGCTGTGGGCGGGAAGCCGCAGCGGCGCGTTCACACTGAGAGGCATGGGATGAAAACGCTCCGCGTTCACTACTTTCCATTTCGAACGTGAACACAGTTTCGCGTTTGTTCTTTCTTTTTTTCCCCCCCTTTTTTTTGTTGCGCGGAGGTTTCGTTTAAAGCAAACGTGGTGCGAACGTGTGACTGTTGTTTTAACACTCCACCGACCTGAACACTGACCACGGGCTGCTGTCTTTTTAGGAGCTGAAAGAGAAGAAAGAAGTAGAAGCGGAGGAGGAAAAGGCCGACACCGGGGACGCACCTGCCAATGGCACAGTGAGTTTGAGAGGCAAACCGGCCTCGTGGCCTTTTGTCTTTGCGCCCATCATCATGCAGGTGTCGCTGCATCCATCTCCCCCCTCCTGTTCAGCTGCTCCCTCCACGCTCTGCTTTGTTTGGGTTGTGAAATGGCACAGATGTTAATTGGTCGTCTCCATTGGTTTCTCCAGTCTGTGGTTTCTCACAGCTTGGTAGTTAATCCTCTGGGGAGGTAATGAGACTTCTACCCATGCCTTGTTTTTTTTTGTGTCCCCAGAGGATCTGGGCATTGCAATCTTTTGACATGATTCTTTTTTAAACATTCTATTTTACTAGTTTTTCTTACCCCGTCTCCCAAAATTGCCCATTTTCCCTTGGCTTTGGTCTGGTATTTAAAGCATTGTTATGACATCCTTGGGGGATAAAAAAAAAACGAATTTCCTTGTGTCTGTTCAGAATGGAGCTGAGCATAGTGACAAAAAGGAAGAAACCACAGAGGAGGAGCAGAAAAATGGAGAGGGTATGTTAAAAAAATCTAATGCATTTCAAAAGCAATAATGTTTCTGACTTTGTTTTTTCTGGTATGCCATCATGAATATATAGCCCAAATATATCTATATTTACAATGAGTTTTAGAATCCTGTACAAGTGAGCTGAACTGAACTCTAAGGAAGAACAAGGCTGTAATTTGTGAACTGTCTGGCTGTCCTTGCAGGAAAGGCAGAGGAGGCGCCCCCTGCTGAGGAGACCGATGCACAGCCGGTGAAGCGTGCAGCTGAAGAAGAGGAGGTAGGTTGTCCTCAAGTATACAATAATTAATCTCTTGTTTCTGAGTTATCTTGTGATCTCTGTACTCTGGCCTTCTGTGACAAATTCTCCTTCTTCATTAGGAAAAGGCAGAGACAAAAAAGCAAAAGAAGGAGGAAAATGGAGACTCAAAAGAAGCAGAAGTGAAGGCTTAGGTCTTTGCCCTGCTACCTGTTTGCAGCACTGTTTCACCAGCCTGGTCAACATCGTGTTGTAGAGTTTGTGCTTTTGTATCTTTTGAAAGAGATTTCTTTTTGGTTGCTCCCATGTTATCACATTGCACTGGAGTCTTAAAACATAGTGGCCCCGCATCCTTTTTTCTTTTTTAAAGAAATGTTATTTATTGGTCTTTAAAGTGAGCTTGTTTTCTACTTTTACAAATTGGGCCACGCCATGAGATCAGTTTTTCATTTCCTGACATTTCACATCAGTATGTTTGAAGCACAGTCTCTATTATGTCAGTGCTGACCAGATGATCCATACATACAGGCAGCTGCTCACCTCCAAGGCTCATGTTGACCTCTCAAATACACTTAAAGGACCAAAGATAAGTTTTAAGCAGGGGATAATGGACAGTTGTTGTTATTAGTTGAGGCGTCATATTTTGTGTTGAGCTGCTACTTAATCCCTGACTGCCCTGTTAACATAACAGATGGTGCAAATGAATAAAGGGGCTCTCCTTCACCTCCACGAATTGCTAGTGTGACCCTTTTCAGTGGAGGCAGGATTTTGCAATGTTAATTAACCCCTCTTAAATCTTAAAGCTTTGGTCATTTGTTCTGTATGCATTCCACGCAAGTTTGTACCATTTATACTTTGTTTTTCTTGCATTTTCAATGAGTTTTATGTTACGGTTGGGTAGCCCAGTTCTGTGTACAAGACTTGCCTTTTTCAGAACCAGAATGGCATTCGGTTACTTCAACTACTGCTTTGTATATTCTGATTAACAAATAAATTTTGTCTTTTTACTTAACTATGTCTGTCTCTGTTTATCTGTTAGTATGCCATCTGCCTTTTATAAAAACCATGGTTTTATAAGTGGATGATGTCACTTGACCCAATTTTTTTCTTAACATGGAAAATGGCTGGCTTAGATGCAGGAAGGAGCATGGATAATTTCACTCACTCTGTAATGGAACCGGTGCACCGAATAAGTGGTCTGCTGCTCTTGGGTGTGTTAGGACTCCCCCGTGTGGTGCAACGAAAAGTTTCAGCTCGCCATGTAATGAAATGGGGCCACGGGTTTTTCAGCCGGTTGTAGGAAACAATGACGTGACAAGAGTCAAAGATGGCAAAATGATCATTTTAGTTTCAAATGAACCCTGAATTAAATGTAGCTTTTACAGTAATGCTAATATTGACCAATAGATGGTTCCATGTAACACAAAAACATTTCTTTCTCAAGCAAGCTGCAACAGCATGATCCATACAGGTACTGTTTCCTTAGAAACGTGAGCAGGGTCTGCATCCAGTCGATCCAGCAGGCTTTAATAGTAGGCCATAGTTGATATTCTGCAGTGGCACCAGGATGTTGGGGTGCTCAATACAACCGTCACAATGGGAGGCTTAACATACTAAATGACGTGTTATAAGCCCTGAAGTCAGCTTTTCAGGCTCAACACTTGCCACGGCACACCAGATGTTAAAAATAAATCCTATGTGCCACTTTGCTGATGAAGATTATTCCGGGATTAAAAAGGGATGAAATCAAGATCTTCAATTGGCGACCTTTGCTAAAAACCATAAGGTCATAGCTACACTGAGATAACGGGTGGAGCAGAAGCCTACTACCTTAAGCATGCGCCCTAATGGTGACAAAAAGCACTTGCTGCCGACTCTGAATCCCACAGTCCTTTGTTTTAAAGACGTCCATCCTGGCGGTTACCCAGAGTTCACATGAATCTTCTCTCTGTTAGTTGCTCTTCTGTTTTGTTGGGTTTCCCACTCAATGCTGATTCACACCTCAGTTTCAACTTCTCTTCCTGACAATGACAAGAATCACTGTCATTATTACAATGGAATGGCCGGAAGTAGGGTGACAGCACACAGGGCCGCGCCAAACTTGGTGTGAGCCCAGACAGGCATCTAGCCACCAGTACACATTTTTGTCTGTTCCTGACAACGCATGTACCGGCGTGTGTCGCGCCTCTGTGATGAGGAAGTACCAAACCTAGTGTTGTTTTCATTGGTTGTGGGACTTTATTAAGAGTTCCCAGCTTCAGCATTTGAACTGAGGGGCAGGATATTGATTAAGTCTCACGCCGACAAGATTGTTTGGACGGTGTTTGTATTTGTTGTTAAAATGTGTACATGTGTGAAGCCCTTCTATAGTTTGGTGATGCTTAGCGGTTTGGATTCAGGTGACTATTATAAGGTCGAGTTTTCTCATTTAGGTGGAAGAAGCTATTGATTTGTTAACGCGTGAACAGTCACTGGCAGCACATTCATTTAGTCAGAAAGGCCAGCTGTTGGTGTGGCGCTCGTAGGCTAACTCAGAGAAACAGGCAGGTAGACATTGCTTCGGCCGTGTGACCAAAACTAAACAGGGATTTACACTGCCGTTCATGCAGACGTTATAGGCGACTGATAAAAGGAAGAAAAAGAGGGGAAAGCTGTGGTTAACTGGCAGAACACCAACAAACAAGCAAGAAAAAAATCAGGCAAGATTTGACACCAAAGCATCGGACACAGAAACTGACCAGGCTCACCTGTACACAGAGAAATCAACCATAAAAACCTCAATCACACACACACACACACATTCAAAAAGCTACACGTTAGTTTGCAAAAGTGAGGAAAAATGCATAGGCACACACACTATATGAACACGCTAGTCATGTGTACACTTACAAGCGCGGTGGCCAATGTCTGTCTGTCTGTTAAGCTCTGAGGAAAGAAGTGCTGACACGTGTAAAACAGCAAACGAATCAGTGCTGTACAGTGTGCGTCAGGAAGTGCAGTGTGTCCATCACCATCAGCGCTACGGAGGTCAACACACTCTAAGAGACACTAAGAGACGGTGTGGGAGCATGCGCCGTCAGTGTGCCTGTGTGTGTGTGTGTGTGTGTGTGTGTGTGTATGTGTGTATGCCAGGTCAAACGACTGAGGAGACTTTGCTAGATGTGCACCAACAGTGGCTGGGTCTCGCTTTCGGGGGGCTCACCCTCGGGGGGGGGCAGCTGGTACACCACGCAGAGAGAGGAGTACAGGCAGCCCACGAATGACATCAGGCTTGCAAAGTACATCACTCCCTGAGCCCCACCCACCAGTGAGGTCAGAGGTCCCATCGCCACAGAGACCAGGATCTGAGCCAGGAAGTACTGGCAGCTGAGCAGAGAGATGTCCACCCCCATGCCTCGTCTGGTCCCCTCCTCTGACGAGCCGCAAAACTGGAAGACAGGCGCACGTTTTTTGAGTGGTGCGCTTTTATCTAGGCAGATACTAAATGTGAGGAATCAGTCAGCATGTTAGTTGCGTTTTAGTTCTTGTAAAAAAAAAAGCTTACAGATCACAGAGCTTTTGAAATGTTAACAGGCAGCACACCGTTATTTTTTCAAAAAAAAAAAAGAAAAGTCCCCCTTTATCATAAACATCTGATCTGCTTCATTTCCATTTTTCACTTTCATGTTGGAATGAGCACCCAGGTGCCTTTCCAGGACTATTTGTGATGCCAGTTGTACAATAGTGGAGCAACTAACTTCCCCTTTCAGCACGCCACAAATCTAACCAACAAGCTGCCTGATAAATGAATGACTGCTGAATATATAAATATCACAGATCCCATGCTCTAACGTTTTTTTTTTTAATCGCTTCTGGCAGAACACAAAACCTTGACCTCTGGTCTCTTTTCACATAAAACTGGCAGACTGTTCCATTACATGAATGAAGCAAGGTGCCGTCCAGACATTTTTGCACCATTTTTGTAGGTGTTGTAGGGTGTTTTGAACATGGATTTAGCAGACATTTTTATTCAAAGCTACTTAGAAGGACACAGGAATATTTTTAGGATCAATTTACAATAAAAACTTCAAGAGTCTGCCAGAGGGAGGGTGCAGATCTATGGGTTGGTTACATGCAGTTTATGATCAGCAGATTGCACACGTGGGGGAAGGGGTTGAGAGGAGAAGGAAGTGAAAGATAAGTGTAGTTAATGTTTAGTCTGTTATGAGAGGGGGTATTCTTACAAAAGCAGTTTTCAAACACTTTTTAGAGGTAGAGATGCAACTGATGAAACTATGAATCCACAGCGGTAATACTACAAATTAATTAAAATGTTGATATTCCTACAATCTCTACTAATTGTAAAATATCATAAAGAAGGTTTTTGCATAAACATATTTTTATTTTCCCCTCCAGTTAAGGTTTTATTTCCCTTCTGAGAGATCCTGTTATCTGACTTTAAACAAGGACTGAGCAAATGATCTGCACCCCACTGAACAACTTAGAGCAGTTTGGGCATTTTGGGAGAGGGCTTAAAAAGACAGGAGCCAAAAGAAGCCTTTTCATCTCAAACAAGCCAGTATGAGATGAAAAATTCACTTTTTTTTTTACATGGCAACCTCTTCAATAAGCCTCTAAAGCAGGTTTACGGGTCTCTAAACAAGGGTTAATGCACTCCCTAAGTTGATACGGGAAATGTGATGAAAACTAATCAGTCGTTGCACGTATGAAGACACTCACCTGAGGGCTCTGGTAGTATTCACACAGCAGAGAGTAAGGCAGCGTACATAGAGAGGAGAAGAGCACCCCGTAGGTGACGCAGAGAGAGAGTACCACGTACAGGTTGGTGGATAGCGTTGCAAGGCCTGTGCCCAAACCAAATGCCAGGTAGGCAAAAAAATACAGAGTTCGAAGAGAGAAACGCTCCTCAAGTTTCTCTAATATGGCTGGAACGATAAATGTAGGACAACTGTCAGGAGAATTGTGATCATGTCCAACCAAGCTAAGAAAAAGTGAAGACAAAGCTACGCTAATATCACAATGTAAATATATGGGATCTAACCTGAATAGAAAGCAGCACTGAATGCATAGATGCACATCCCCCAGCAGCCCATGCTGACCCCGGCATTGTAGCGTTGGTAAGCCTCAGAATCATGGGGTGCTTTGGGGTCTCCTTCAAACACAACCTCCCCCATGAAGTCAGTGTAAAAGAGCAGCATACCCTCAAAGGACAACCAGCCTGCGACACATAAAAAGAATCACCTCACGCTTTAGAAGTCAAGCATAAAACAGGTCTTAAGGTTTAGCAGCAGTTACATTGGAAATAACACATAAACGAAGAGATTGTTCTCACCCAAAAAATGGTTAGTGCATAAACTGCGGAGAGAGGGAGGCATCCTGTAGATGGCTATACACAGCAGCCTCATTGACATCTGGGATTCTCCTGTCTCCGCATTCTCACTTAGATCACTTTCATAACGCACTCCGTTCAGCAAAATGTTTGCAACCTACACCAGAGAAAATAGAAAAACACCACTTTTTCAACAGCCTGTCCAATCCATACTTTAATCGGTCTTGGTCATGGTCTAATTTGGCTCCTGACCTGCTGACTAAATGTCACTGTTCTCCTGCGTCCGTTCTCGAACCCCACAATCTGGGTTGCCAAGGGCTCCTCCATCAGCGCGAGACTCTGGGGTCGTTTCAGGATGCCCGCATTAGAGCCCCGATGCTGAGTGCCAGCTGCCACTTGAGACGCAACGTGAGATTGAGACTCTTCCTCAGGGTGAGCCTCCTCTGCACGCTGAGCGTTCCCATCAGGACGAGACCCCCCATCAGCCTGGCTCTGTCCTGTCGGATGGTCCCCTGCTGTTTGTGTGGGCTCATCAAGGGGAGGGGAGTCCCCTGGTGGCAGGGGCATGGCGGTGGAGCTTTGGCCTACACCCTGTGGAGTCTGCTGACCCGTGTAGCAGTCTATGAGCACACTGTCTATATATGAGGTTCCTAATGAGGAGGCAAACTCATTGATGCCCGTGAGGGAGCTGTCCCTGCTCATAAAGCTGCCATATTTTGGAGTGAGGGGGCTTAGAGGTGATATGGGGCTGGTAAGACCAGCACAAAGACGTGCATTAGCACTGCAAGAATGGGCCAAGGAGTCAGGATTACCTGGGTTAGACTTAGAAAAATTGTAACTGTAAAGACCCCCCTCGTCCTCTTCATCCAGTCCCAGAGCGGCTCCTGGGGGAACAGGGGGAGAGGGAGGAAGGGGGAGGCTGGGGCTTTTTAGATGTTTTTTACTGGAGCTTTTGTTTGTTTGGTTTTTTGGTAAGGGCCTCTCTGGGATACTCGTCAGAGTCATGGCTGTGGCAATCACTAGGGTGACACTCGTAAACAGGTAAATGACCCGCAGCTGACCCCCCATTGACTTTCCAAATTGTGTATGGTCCCAGTTGATGCCACCCACAATGTAGCCAAATCCTCCTCCTAGTCCTGTATGGAAATGATAAGGGCACAAGAATGCAAAAATGAGATATGATTTTAGATATTTTTCTCTGCTCACCCAAGATGATCTGTCAAGCATTGCATATGTATCTCCTGCAATACATTCTGTAATAAGAAGGAATAAGTATGTCTTCCTGCCTGCAAGTAGTGCATGAATGTTCAGCCCCCGGTCCTGGTCCTCCGGACTGCACACATCCATCATGTAAGCATGGCTTGGATTGTCAGCTGAATCTGCACTGAAGTCCATCAGAACCACGCCGCACACAGTCAGGACAATACCCCACTTGTGGTTTGATGCTGTATCAGCTACTGCGCCCCCGATGTCACGTCCATTCAGCACAAAGGTTAAACCGAGCAAAGCTCCTGTAAGGCAGAAAAGCAGTGTTTGTGAAGAGCTGAGCAGATGTCCTGCTGACGGGGAAAAACACTGAAAGCACATGATGTGTCTTTGAGGTTTAATTTAAGAAAGCTACTTAAGCCATGACCCTTTACACCACTAATCATAAAATCCATCTCTGTGGGGAGCTATATGTTGTCAAATTCCAGGCAAAACAACCCTTGTGAGTAATTGGAATTGTGAGTCTTCATCAAGTAGTTCTCTGGATGCCTTCATGCAGTGAAATAACACTGTGATACCCTCTGAAGATGTCTTACCTACAGCTAAAGCTAAAATAAAAGGTCTCCTCCGCCCAAACCGGGATGTGCAACGATCACTCCATGCTCCTATGAGAGGCTGAACGAGGAATCCTGTAGGCCAAAGACAGGGGGGGCAAAGTTAGGGCCCACAAAGTTACGGCAGCATCTTATGACTCGTCTTCGAAGCCATATCATTTTACAGTGCGCATCTCCATAAACCACTCACCTAGAATTGGACTAACTAACCACACCAAGCTGTAGAATTGATCAGGCAGGCCCATCTGCAAGAGCACAGGAGTCACATAAGCCGTTTCCATAGCATAGCTAAATTCAATACCAAACAGGATGCAGCCGTTGAAGAGCAGCTCTTGGAAGGTTCGTCTCGGGGGAAGCTCACTGAGGTCCAACTGGTCCAGGGGACAGGGGGTGTTGGGTGGGGGAGGTGGTGAAGGTCGTATCAGCTTCCTACGCTTTGGCTGTCTTTGGAAGTTGTTGGCTCTGTGACTGAGGTGCCGGGTGGTTGATGTTGGGAAGCTGGCAGTTTTAGGCAGTGAGCTCCTCCAGATACCTTCCTGAGCTGTAGATGACCTTCCTCCTGGGCTGGCCAAGAGGGGGTCGCTGGGGGTGCCCATGCCTGGAGATGACATCTCTCTCAAGCCAGAGTACACTGCAGCATATAAAAAAAAGGTGTTATGCAATATGAAACCCAGAGACCACTTAAGCTTCCTATTACTTTGAACGTTAAGGAGATAACTCAAGATCAGTGGAACTGAATATACATGTGGTTATTTTGGTCCTGCTGTGCTGAAGGTACAGTGCTACCAAGAGGACACTGCAGTCATCAGCAGACGGGGCTGATGGGCACGACGCACTGCATCCAGTGCGCATGCCGTGCGCAGAGCCCATGTGCTCACCGTGGCTGACTACAGCAGAGTACTATGCGGCACCGCTCTCATGACGCTTGTTTCCATTTTAATTTTTCATGTAGGAATCGGACACAATTGAGCCTTTGTAAAGAGGGTTGGAAAGACAACGGCATAGACATCCGTCGCATCTACACGAAAGAAATTGCAATAGGCAGATTTTGTGAGGCCCCGTAGCTATACATCGACTGTTTACACCTTCTGGCGAATCATCCTCGGCAATTGCCTCGACTTGTCACCTCGGTCATAAAAGTGACCATCAAGCAAGCGACCCAGCTGAGGAATAAGCCGAAAAAGGCGTGCAAATGGAGACACCAAACATCATAATTACCTTGCCGGCGCGGCTCGTCATTTATTGCGGCGCACTGTGGAGGTAAACAGAGGAAACACTGGGATGTACGGAAAACGTGGCATTAATTACTGGACCCATGGCTGTTTTTTCTTTTTCTTTTTGTTTTGTTTTCCTTTGATGCATCCATCCCCCCGCTCTCTCCAGCGTCCCTTCTCCTCCTTCCCCCTCTTCCTTTCTCCCCATTCGCCTCTTTTCCCGGTCTCTCCCGTGACGTCACGCCCCTCCCTGCAACATCAGCACCGCGGACACATCTGCTCAGCCACACATAGTACATTGTCTGCATATTTACTGTACCTGAGCTCAGCGTCATGACATTTATACAAAACTACACGAGCAGAGACTTACATGAGTTATTCAGAAAGTTAACATTTAATCTCCAATTAAAAAGGACCATATGTAGTCATGTGATATTTCAGGAAGAGCCACACAATTATGTTAACGTTAATAGTGTTAACAGATATTTGCACGTGTTAAATTATGCAAACTTAATATACCTATAATGCCAAATTGCCATGCTTGTCTTGATAATACTTATTTAGCCATAGATTCTGACATATAGGACAGTTTTCTGTTTCAGACAGTAGAGTTCCAAGCATTGTGAAAGAGAGCAGCCAGTCTTTTTCTTCTTCCTGAGAGAACAAAAATGGAGACTGAAATAAGTGATGGAAATCAGACAAGAGGAGTCTGGGGTTCTGGAGTTTAGGGAAACAGTAACAGTAAACAGTGTGCCTTTTGGTGAGGGCGTAGAAAGATGAACTATAACATTCAATGGGAAACTTCTTGGAGGTCACTACTTCCGTCTGGTCAAAAACTAACTGACCATTCATGTTTTTTTTTAAGATGTTGAAATAGGTTTTGTGACTGGAAAATTATTATAAATTAGCAATAAAACACCATTATTATTGCAAATATTTGCCTTTTAATGTAGGGGAAAATCTTGAAAAAACATTTTGGATTTGTTGTAAAATAATTCAATTTGTCCATACATTATACCCAACTTTCTAAAATAGGAGGACTTCATTGTAACTTATGGTTTAATTTTGAGTGAAGCAGTAAAACTTTCACATTTTCATAAACAGGCTCTTCTTTACTGGTAAGTAATTTTTATTCATGATTTTGTTCCTCCCTATACTCTAGTGTGGCATAATAGACATATTCAGATTAATATAAAATCAATATCTATTGATGAATGACACTCAAAAAAAGTGTGGGCTGTTGACCATTTTATGCACCACGAAGGAAATATTTTACGTCATCAGAATCCTTAAAAAGACAAATTCATGCACTAAGAGAAAACATAACAAAATCAGAAATTCAATCCTATTATCTGTTCTGGCTATCTTTAGACAAGATACGATATATTGTACTCTAATCTAAAGTTGTGTAGAGGCTTTTACAGAAAGTACAGACAAACGTACCTAATCAGGGACTGAGTAAATTGCATTTTGTGTTTCAATCAAAGAATAGATTCTTGCGATTAAAATGAAAACAAATTGTTGGGACAATCTCTGAAACAATGTCGTAAAAGTGTAGACGTAAACTTCTGAAAATGCAAACAAAGGCCTGGGCGGTAATTCCCATCACCTTTGAACTGACAAGGTGTGGTACAGGCCCCTTACACAATCTGCATTCAGAACAAATGTCACATGTCCATCCGTCATTTGGAGTTAAATTAAAATGTCTCAATCTGTTTCACACACTGACTGACACACACTGACAGCTAATGGGGGAATTACCAGATATTACCAGCAAAAAGTCATTCAAATTGAATACAGAGTAGTGGCGACAGCACGTGACAGGAGCTGCCTTACAAAGTCCCGCCTCCCGTTCTTTGATTGGCTCAGCCACGGGCATGAGTAACCTCTGATTGGACAGTAGCTTCAACTCTGGGTGTTTCAGGAACAAAGTGTTTTGCAACATATGTGGGAGTGTTACAGACGTTAAAGACGTTAAGTTACATATTTCAGATTGTCCGTGTCTCCTGGAATTGTTTGACCAGTGTCGTTTTAAAGGTCTACTACCTCAGGCGTAGAAAATGGCTAAAGTTGATCTTGGTAAAGTTGGAAAGAACGTACTCAAGAGCTCTGACACTGGGGAGGTAAGAAAATCTTCACTAATTAAGCCATTATCGTCTTCCAAGCATAGTTTCTTTTAATCTTTTTGATCGTATTTTTTAAGGGATTTGTCTGACTGGGCTCATTTTGTAATTAATCTGTGCTGTATGATAGAGCCCTGGCTCCCTACTGAGAGACAGTCTATTAAACCAGCCATTACCTCTCAGCATTGAGACTCCTTAAAGACTCTGGTGTGATGTAATGATGATCTGTTGGGAATTCACACATGACCTCACATCATTATGACACCGTTTGAAAAGTGCCTGCTGATTTCACATTTACACCTTTTTCTCCCCCTTTTTTCTTCCATTTCTTCCATCTGTTTCAGGCAGTAGAGCTCCAGTCTCTGTGGGGGGAGCAGCCGGTGGTGTTGTTCTTCCTGCGCAGGTTTGGCTGCCAGGTGTGTCGATGGATGGCATCAGAGATCAGTAAACTGGAGCCTGAACTGAAGGCTGCCGGCGTCTTATTGGTGGGAGTCGGACCAGAGGAGTTTGGGGTGCAGGAGTTTAAGGATGGAGGGTTTTTCAAAGGACGTAAGCAGCACTTATTTGACAACTTTTTGCTGAGGGCTTGGACACATCCACTATTTTCCCCTGTATACTTAGTTTCATAGAAAATTTTCCCAATTATTTTCTGATCGTCAGATCCTGCTGGAAATCAACATATCACCAACATCACTACACAGATCAGCCAATCAACACTGGCAATCATTTTGCATTAACCATATAAATATTTGGAAACTCATATTATGATACTATTTTTCATCATTATGAGCTCTGTTGGTCAGAGAGAGAAACTGTTTCAATCTTCTCTGCATCCTTCATATATAGAATGAAAAATAAACTTGACTGGTCTTGAAAAAGGATTGGAAAAACAAGCTTATATTGAAAGAATCCATATTTGATTTTATTTACATTACTTCCACCTTCCACCCTCAGTAAAGCTCCCATTTCATTGCAACTGTCATCACAAGTAATCATTATTTTTTGTTTTTTTTAGCCGTTTATGTGGATGAACAAAAGAAGTGTTACAAGGATCTGGGTTTCAAACGGTGAGTATATCATTGTTAATTGTCTCCAATAAATAAGCTGAAGTGTGATTCATGATGTCTTTCAGATTTTGGACTGTCTTTCAAATGTAGAAACATATTTTTTAGTTTGATAGTTAAAATTTTTGCTGTGCGTTTACAGACTAATTGTCTGCAATGAAAAAAAATAGTTGTGTGTTTCATTTTCAGGTACACAGCTTTGAGTGTGGTTCCAGCAGCTCTGGGGAAGAAAGTGCGTGATATATCTTCAAAGGTAAGGAAATACACGGCAAAGAAATCTACTTGTTCAATTATTTTATATTATAATATTTTATATTATTCCATAGTATCTGTTAGACTAAAATAAAACACAGATTTTTCTCATTTTCATCTTCCAAGATGAATGGTCACAACAGTTGTCATTTAAATAATTCCTTATACAGATATCGGTCATATAAATCTGTATATAATGTCATTATATCTATAATATGTGTAGACAAGCACAAGATCTGCTGTTTAGTTACTGACTGACAGAATCATGTCCTCTGGTGGCCTTTTGTCTCTCTTACTTTAAGGCAAGTGCTGATGGAATCCAGGGAAACCTCTCAGGAGATCTGCTCCAGAGTGGAGGCATGCTCATTGTGGCAAAAGGTACAGTCATTGTTTATCAATTGAAGGCATGCCAGTGGATCCAAAACATGGCCATTGTTCTCGAACCACCTGGGTCATGTTGGCAGCGGGCAAAGTTTGCCTCATTCACACAGATGAGAAGGTTGCAGCTTTGCAGTTCGTCCTCTAGAGGACAGCGCTGCACCACATTGCTCTTCAGTCATTCTGAATCACCTTCCCACATCTGCTCACCCTACTCACATCTTCATCTCATCTATGTGTTTGTCGGGTTTTCAGCCTTTAGTGTTCACCATGTAAAAGTGTGTTAGCTTTAAAATTCTGAAGGGCAGCTCTGCTTGTAGAGCTGAATGTTCTAAATCGGGTTTGGATCAACGGCATTTGCACATCTCTTTTCAGACTATTGACGAAACCTAGTTTCTGTGTTATACACGTGTAGAAGTGGCATTTAGTATTTTGATCAAAGGCATTTGAACCTTCCCGTTTGCATGTGATGGTTGTTCCTACGAAGCTACTGTGGCCCAGGCTAATAAAAAGATCCAAGATCTTAACAGTTGTCCTGAACCTCCACTTCAGAAGCTCCACTTCAGGACAACTGAGAAGGTTTAATTAAGTGATGAATAATATTTTATATCATATATTTTTGCTGCTATGTTTGATTATTTCCTTTATCAAGAAAGTAATTCTCCAAATATAAAAACCAGTAATATCTCTGGCTGCTGATGTGTTGATACCCCTTGATGGTGCTGTATGGCAGCTTTAGCTCATGAGATGAAGTAGATTACTCTTCACTCTGCTCTGAGTCTTCATCATTTTCAGTTTACGCCCCAACATAAACCAATCGTGGGGACTGAAATCCAACACAACATGACAGGCATTATTATTGATTGAAGTTATTGAAAATATACTTTTGTGTAAAAAAAAGACTGATTATTATCGAGTAATGAAATATTTTTTTGTCTTGAAGTTGTGAAACTTCTGTTGAAAAATATCTATACTTTTTTTTATATCTCCCTGTGCTTCGAAAGGTGGAGAAAAGGTGTTACTGCACTTTATCCAGGATTCACCAGGAGACCTTGTACCTCTGGAGAACATTTCTACGGCTCTGGGAATCTCAGCTTCAGTAAAAGCAGGACAGAGGCCCGTGGTAAGATGTCCAATAGATGTCCTCACATTTATAGCTTTTCCTCCCTCAGTCATAGCCATAGTAAATTCAGCCATTTCAAGCATTGTAGTGAAGGGAGAAATAGAGTAGATTGTGTCGTTCAACCTAAGTGTGTGTGTCAGTGTGTGTGTTAAAATGCACTGAAGCGATCTATGTTTTTTTTTTTTCCATCATGACTCTGCTTTACGTCAATAGAGACGCAGGCATCAGAGTAGCCTCTTCACAGACGATTTCACACTCATTACGTCGTCTTCATGGTCCGTCAGTATCTGTGTCAAAGGGTCCGAAAACCTTTTAAGCTTGAGTGATGGACTCTGTTCTTGAGAACACAAGAGAAGTAATTCTTCACATTTCTACCATATCCATACTGCTGGATGACCTGGAAAACTAGCTGTCCGACCTTTATGAAGTATGTCTTCCTCCCAAAAAATCTACCATGTTGCTTCAGCAGAGATTTGGAAAATTGGATGTCAACTAAATGTTGGATGAATTACATTTTTTTAAAAGGACATTTTTGATAGCTACCAAAAATGTTTGATGTCAGTGGGAAGTCGCACATAAGAACGAGCATTTGAACTTTGACCCCGCTGACTTTTATCCCTGACTGTGCGTACTTAATGCGCACAGTAGAGCTTCAGTCATTAATAACTGAGTTATTACTTTGTTGATCAATGAACAATTTTTTGAATTTTAGATATAAGTATTACTAATGCATTATTTAAGAAACATTTTAATTGAAAATGTAATAATTAATGATGATTGGAATTATTAGCAGGATTTTAAGAAAAAGTCATCAAATCAGCAGTTCTGGAAAATTCTTAGAGACAAAGTTATAAAGTTGAAAATGTCTGTTTTATGCAATGAATTGTCCCAGTTTAAAAAAAACAAAACATGATCAGGGACTGAATTTGTTGCAGGTTGTTTAAATGTGTTTCTTTCAACTGTCTTTATTAGATATAAAGGAGTAGAATGCATTTCAGTGTCTTCAAAGGAAGAGGGTTGTGCACATTTTAAGCAGATGACATGCTGGATTAACTTTATTAATTATTCATAATGATTAATTATTGCCTTTGTGGATGGCAAGATCGATTACAATCTAACAGCAACGAATACTTTCACCGCGTGAATAAATCTGATGTGCTTTCCATAGATAAAAAAATATGAGTTATGCTCTGTGTTAGATACAGACTGTAATGGATGTATTAATTTAGGTAGTAAAATATACAAAGAACAAAACAGACAGAAGATCAGATTGTCTGAACATTAATTATTTATTCTAAGTATGCGGTTGTGGTGTGTTTCTTTATGCTAGACATAAATTCGATCTTCAGTCATGAATAATCACTGATACAAGTGAAAGCAGTACTTAAATGCACCATCGACCTTTTGAGCAGAGCCAGGCTTCCTTCTGATTTTATGCTGGATGCAAAGCAAATAAAATAATTAAATTACAAAGGAGGAATGAACATGGATGATGTTTAGTTACTCCTATCTGAGACATAAAATGGGTTGAATTAATTAAAAACACAAAAGTATCTTAGTCATATGTAAACAAAATGTAAACACTGTAGCTCACATAATACCAAAGTATTGTGGCTCTGATATGTAATGGAGGTCAGAAAGGAAATTGCTAAAGAAAAGGCTGCTTTTGTTCTTTATCCTTACAGCACCTTTTGCAAAGAATACATTCTTAGAGGCCAGTGACCTAAGATCTCCAGTCCAGAGCTGTGTGGGGTTTGTCCTGTGATCTTTGGGGCTTTCGACATGCCCATCATATCCAGCACATGCCCTTCAACAGTTTTGCCTCCCCGCTCTGTTGCTTGCTTCCCACAAAAGCCGCCATGCTGTTGCAAAATGTCCCCATGACTTGTGTGACGGCTTGCTAATTTCATCCCCGATGCTCGGTAAACAGGCAAGAGCTTGTTTTCTCTGAAGGGTCACAGTGTGTCAGCAACAAGTGAAAGTCACAAGCAAGCTGACATGAGTGTGGGCAAAGGGTCCGGGCAAAGTTTGGGAGAAGAATGGAGCTGTTGTCTCATATGCATCAAAACTCAGATTTGGATTGAAAGCGTTTGTCTTCTGAAGTAAAAGTGCCAAGCAAAGATGCAGTTAATTCCCTGATGGTTTTACATCCGGTTCAGAAAAATAAGACTTCCTCTGGGCAGACTTTATCACAAAGAATTAGGCACTTCTAGTCTTTCGCCTAATTTTTTTATAGTTTGCTGAAAAGTAGTTAAATTTGCCAACATTTGGTGAGTTGTCAGTGCACCACGTAACATTAAGGGACCAATACACATTTATCTTCTTTGTCCTCCAGATGTTTTACTGATTCATTTAAGACAAGAAATCAAACTTGACTGATATGAATAGATATCCTATAGTACATTTAAAATCCAAATAAAGTAATAGAAAATTATCCCTCATCACATGAACCATGTGATGTGCTATATTTTAGTTTAATGCTATTTGTTAAGCACTGGTATATTCCAAAGATATTTAAAGTCAAAACTCATAAAAGGAAAACAGCAGTGGTAAAAATAAATTGTAACTAAATTCAAGACCTCTGGGGACAGCACTTAAATGGTAAGAGAGATTTGTTAATAAATGCATGAACTGGTGAATAAATAGTTGTATTTGCCCAAGTGATTCTGGAAATCACAAGTACACACAAATGAGTGCAGAGTAATCTTGTGTACCGATGGGGAACAATGAGATTTTTCAAATATTTAGGCACCAGGCCATTAAAGGCTTTGTACGTAAGAAGGATCTGAAAGTCCATACTGGTCTTTACAGAGAGCCAGTGTAAAGAGGCCACCGCCTTGCCTCTGATTATTACTTTGAAAAAACTCATCCAGAAGTGCTGCTCAGTCCTGGTGACGTCTTATGGATGCTCTTTTGATGTTTTAACAATGAATTCCATTCTTAGAGACGGGATCTGCTGGTCATCTTGTGGGCCTTTTAACAAAATCCTACTTCATGACACTGGTTTTAGTTTAAACCACATCAGCTTTTCCAACACTGCTATTTATTTTCTTTCTGTAACATTATTAGAAACATTAGTGTCATTTTAAAATTAGTCCAGAATGATTGGTGTTTTTTAAAATGCTTTGTAACCACAGTTTTATGGCACCATCTGCAGCAGTGTGCCGAGAGGCATAAAGGTCACTGTGGTCTGATGTGAGTGAAGGCAACTAACCATTTCAGCTTTGATATAAACAACAAAATCACGTTTAATAATCAGTAATTGGGTCATCCAGTTAAGATATAATTGGGCCTAACACTTTGCATTTAAGGCATGAAATTAATCGTAATCTGTATTTGATCAGTTTGATGTTAAAGCTAAGACAAAAGCCATTCTCCAAACTTGTGGCATAAATTTCTTTGCAAACCGATTAAATCTCTTTTTACAAGCTGTGTCCAGGCAAAGTTATGTTGCTGTAAAACCTGAAATGCTTTGATTATTTTCTCTACGGCCATCTGGCAGAGAAAAGCCTCTTTTAATAGGAGCGGGAAACAAACAGAGGTGCAGTCGCGCTCAGCATTCGGCTCTTTAATCAAAAGCTGAATGCTTTTCAGAAGTTCATTTGACAGTTATCCAGTAAACCTACTTTATTCCTGGAAAAAAAAAGCAAACGACTCCAAGATTTTTACTCTATGTGACCAAAAATGTGTTGTTCTTGAAAAGTGGATATTATTGTGAAACTTTTTCATTGAAAACACAGCCCACAGGGATCATTTGGAGATGTCCACCCATTTCCATCCAGCTCAGACCTTTTTATCTTCTCTTGCAGTGCAACGATGACGTTTGCACACGATGAGGAGGACGCTGCCAGTTCTACCCAACGCACTCCTACCAAACTGAAATCAGAAAATTGAGATTGCTGATAGTTAATAATCCAAAATAGTTAACTGCCTTTGTTTGATTTGTGACATTTTATTACCTTTTTTTCTAAATCCTGTCATACGTTCAACTGAAGTTTCATCTGAGTATGTACAGTAGATAAACTGTATTAAGTTAATAAATATTTAATGTTAAAAATCTGCTTATAAAATGACTGCCTTTAAAAAAAGTGTCTTAAAATAATTTTACTGTAAATTGTGTTATTGGTGAGAAGATCTTTGCTTATGATTAAAATGTAAGAACCGGTCACACGTGATTTTCACCACTTTTTAAAATAAATTCATCTGAAAAATTCAAATTTTTTTCCATCGATAAATACAAACTGTAATAAACATTACATGTTTAACTGTTGCACTACAATTGTCATTTTTGTGCTGTCTAGTGCTCCACTTCAACAGTGGATCCCTGTTTTTCTCCATCCAGATGTTTAAAGAGGAGACTGACTTTCTTTGTCTTTTTAAGGGTACCTAGCATTACTCTAAGAGAAGCTGATTCAATTTAATCTTGATCATTAACACTTGTACACAAATATATAAGTATAGATGATATACTATGTTGGTATGTTTCTGCAGGACAACTTTGAACAGTTTCAGGAAGGTTGGACATTTTTTGAGTAAACTTTTTTTTTCAGTGCTTTGTTGAATTTGAAGGGCGGCACGGTGGTGTGGTGGTTAGCACTGTCGCCTCCCAGCAAGAGGGTTCTGGGTTCGAATCCCGGGGGAACCAGGACCTTTCTGGGTGGAGTTTGCATGTTCTCCCTGTGTCTGCGTGGGTTCTCTCCGGGTTCTCCGGCTTCCTCCCACAGTCCAAAAACCTGCATGTTAGGCTGATTGGAGATTGGGGAAATTGCCCTTAGGAGTGAATGTGAGTGTGAGTGGTTGTTTGTCCTTGTATGTCTTGTGTGTGGCCCTGCGATGGACTGGCGGACTGTCCAGGGTGTACCCTGCTTCTCGCCCGTTGACCACTGGGATAGGCTCCAGTTCCCCCCGCGACCCCATGAGGGAATAAGCGGTATTGATAATGGATGGATGGATGGATGTTGAATTTGAATTAATTCCTCTTTCTGCTTTAAGATCTGAAAACTCTCTTAATTAAATTAGATACTTAATGAACATTTTACCCAAAATCTTTGTGTTTGACAATATATGTCTCAAAACATTTTATAGAAGAACAGATATTTGAAAAAGAGGATATTTAATCCTATTTTGAAGAATCGAGCTAAAACATTTAGCCCTGCATGTTAAATGTGTAAAATAAAGAATACACAATTAGAGAAGAGTCTTGAGATAACACTAGTTGAGACAGTCACTTTAATGGCAATAATTACAGATCTGAGTCACAAAAATAGCAGTCTAGATAATTACATAGCAGCAGGAACATTCATAGAAACATCTTTAACATCTGAGTTCTTGCAAAGCAACAGTTTTACTTCATAAATATTCCTTTAGATAAATAAACTTCTTTGCTGGGTATACAGATTAAACTTGTTCATATATAGCAAAAAGGATTCCTTTGTACTTAGCTGGTAACTTCAAAACGACACAGTTTAACCATTTAAGTGTATGTGAAGCTAAAACTACCTGATTTTTTATCAGATTTTCTGCACAATGCACAACAACATGGTTTATTCTATATACTCTTGATATACTCTAGTTTTCCATTTGCACTTTTTTGCTCAGGAAAACCAGACAAAAAAAAACAGAGTCTTGATAGTTGTTCTTTTAAAAAACAGCCCAGAATTGGAACTCATCCTCTGGCTTCATTTTTTAAATTGTATTCCAGACTAGGTTAGTGTGCCTCTTATCCTCAGTTTGACAGTTTGGTAATCTTAGCTTAATAGGAGTTAACAGAAAGATGTTTCTTTTCTCAACCGCTGTCAAATATCAAATATTGCTGCAGCTGACATTAGCACAGGAAACTGGAAATGCTGCTAGCCTGTCCAAATGCAACTAAATGTGCCCGCTGTTACATTTATCATTGCACCCAGTCACAACATACTATCCCTACTTCCCTCTATTGGTCAAGAAGCTAAGTTTGGATTTTCAAAGTAAAGGAAAGACTCTCCATCAAACACAAAAAGCTGTGCTCTCAGTTTTTGCCACAAATAATCCCAAACATCTTTGAATCTGAAGCAATAGAATCCCCACTGGCTGCTGAAGCGTTGCTATGCAACCTCTCCTGATGCTCTGGTAATTAGTGGCAATCGCAGTCTTATCATGTAAGATTCATCCGTGCTGACTTACAGGCTGAGTGGCACTTAGAATTTGCCGTGTGTCCTCTCAAAACATTAGACTGAAATATATTTCAACATTTTGATACATTTACCAAGAAATTCTTGCTCTCATGACGTTTATCTGCTGACCGCTGCAGGTCTGCCAGAACAACCTTTTTTCAGGGAGCTAAACCACAGGTTAAACTTCGTCTCTAAAGGAGCAGCAGCGATGATTAAAGGGTGCCTTGTGAGATTTGAGATGAGAATCTCTTTGATTCCTACCTCATGCCAGGAAGTCTTTAGTGTAGTTTTTCATCGAACAGGGTCAAACTCTACGTTACCATTTTGTTGCATGAGGATGTTTTAAAAAAGGGGGGAGATAAGAAAGTGAAAACGCCATGACATGTTTCACAGAGTTCATAAAAAACTCCAGGAATAAGTGTCCGCTGATTTTTTCACCAGTTTCATGTTAACAGTATCATGTCAAAAGGGAAAATTGGACATAGTTTTATATTACCAGCATTTGCCAGACACAGTCAATCAACAAATCAGTTTGAAAGAATCAGTTCAGAAGTTGGCCTTAAGTTGCTGGCCTTAACTTTTCTGCTAGCTCGCAGACAGTATCTCTTGGTCGAGCTTTGGCTGCTTTGGTTTTTTGAAGATGTGATACATTGGACTCGAATCAAAACAGAAATTTCACCCTATTTTTACTTTATAATTAGAAGTTTGCAGCCCAGTTATTTAACTCTTCCAGAAGGGGAGTTGGTTAGTGATGGGAAATTTGGATCGAAGGGAGGAAGATTTTGGGGCTTTGTTTCTGTTTAAGAGCTTTTCAGAAGAATATCACAGCTTTCCTCTTAACTAGAACTTGTAAGAGGCAAGAAAAAAGTATTTATTATTGTTTGAAAAAAAGTTGGAAACCTGTTTCCATATAAATTATGATGCATTATTAAAGTTCAATGGTGGCTGATGGAAAACGCAAATCTGTGTTAGAGTTCTAAATATGATCCAAAATACTGATTTTATTAATTTCAAATCTGTTTTAAGACGCTGCCTGATTTATTTATTTTTGCTGAATCCCTTAAAGAGTTTGATTAAAATTACTTTGGAAAATATAAGGAGACACTTGTGGAGTGACAGAATTATAACAAACTCTAAAGAGCATAGCTCACTGTTTCCCACCAAAGAGAATCAATTGATTTAGGAGTGAGCTTTAAGCTGTTCAGAGTTGCTGCCTGTCTCAGCCATCGCTGGAGGAGTGCTGGGTGCCTCTGGACCGTCACCAGTCCCTCACAGGGCTAACACGGGGAGACAAATAGACAGAATCTTGTTTTTTTTCCTGACATTCGTGTCTTTGGGTGGAAACCCACACAGGCATGGGGAGATCATCTGGAAACTCTGCACAGAAAGGCCCCAGAAGTCAAGCCCTCCTGCACCAAGGAAGCAGTGTTGACTGTAGCACCGGTGCTCTCTGTGGAGTGCATTTCCAAACTGCCAAACGTCTGCGTTGAGACGGCAACACTATGGCCTTTTACATTAGGAGACTCACGTCATCTCACTCTGCTCATAGCGACAGTATTCGCCAGAAAATGAAGAAGACGGACAAAAAAAAGCGTCTATATACACATTCGGTTCAGCAGCCTCTGCGGAGACCTAACAGTCGTGTTCAGTTTACCAAGGCATCCTAAATTGTGACGAGCAACAGTAAACATTCAAACTGGCTGGGTGTTTGTGGTGTGTTCAAAACCTCTCCCCGAGCAGGGACTCTGCTCGGCTTTGATTCTCCCGTCATTACCTGTTAATAAAGGTAGAAAATAACAGTCCTGGCCCAAGCCATCTCGTTAATGACAACACCCTTCCGTTTGTTTGCCCGCAGGCTCGTGGATTGGCCACGGTGGTCACCTCCATTCAGCGCGTCCTTTCATCTTACAGGACATTAATCAATTCAAGATGAGAAAGCAAAGCACTTCATCTGCTGCCTCTCCATATGCCAGTGTATCAAAGGGCTTTTGTTTTCCTCTCTCTTGCAGGTAATTGGCTATTCCCAGAGGCAAAAAGTCTTGTAATAGCTGTGCGCTGGGGTTTCCTCAAAGGAAATCATATGAAGAAAGAGGGGTTGTTACACAGATCAAGCCCTGTTTTGGACATCTAACTTATAGATAGAATGCAAATAGGTTTAATTTTAGTTTTATGTGAGAAACTAACCATGTCAAAATGTTTCCCAACTCAGTCCAGTGCGAAGAACTAGCTTCCAACATGCACTATGACTCGGATCTGAACCTTCATAATAATACTGATATCACATCACTCTGCTTATAAAGATTTGTGGAATTTTGCCAAAGCTAAAAAAGTTGCATGCCATCAACACTCCACCAGGAGATTGTTTTCTCAGGGCAAATGATCCCAAGCGACACACAGGTTTCTGCTGCAAGTATAGAGTAGCAATTGTTTGGAGAACATATTTAAGAAACTAAGAAAACGGATTCACAAAAAGCACTATAAAGTTGTGTAAATGTTGACTGTTTAACCTCAGGTGTAAAAACATGAAAAGCTGCTGCTTTCCATGAATGTTAATTTAAGCTTAAAGCTGCAAAGATTTAACAGTCTTAAAGTCTTTAAGCAATTTCTTTTAACATAGCCGCAACCAAACTCTCAGAGTGTGACTAATTCATTGTAGCCTTACTTCAGCAAAAATCCTATTCAATTAATTTCATATTCTTCTATAAGAGCTTGATTTGCTCTCTATTTGCGCTATCTTTAAACTTTTTTTAATGTCTTGAAAAAAGACATATCAGACCAAGGCAACTCTGTGCCACATGTTACCGCTGAAATCATAAAGATGTGCTGAGGAGATTTTTTTTGAATAATTACTTTGTTATAAGCTGGAAAAGCGTTTCACCCCAGTCGTATCAGCCTCCACCTTCTTACAATGTCTTATCATTTCTATGCTGTCCTTTAATTCGTGTTACCGCTCTTCATTTGTGCTGGGATTCAGCTTAAAAGAACAAGCAACCTCATCATCCAGTGTTTCAAACTCAAAAGGATGCTCTAGCAAGTTTGAAAAGAGGGAGTAGTCCAGAATAACATTCAGTTTTCACACATCTTCAATACATAAATAGTACTGTATATGCAAATGTTTTATCACTCCACCATGCACCAAATAAATTGGAATAATTTGTCAGCACAAAGTCCCAGGGAGACCAACAAAGTAAAACTTGTTCTTTTGATTTAAGTTTCTTGGGTCAAAAAATAGCAGAACTTCTACCAGACACGACACTTTAGCTCAGGGTTCATTAGACTGCCCTTTTTGCACTGAAAGGCTTCTGAGAAGGCTTCAAAATTCTGGAGTGATCCAAGGACCCTGAGGAGAGAAGTGAGAGGGTGAGAAAAGGGGAAAAATTAAAAGATTAAAAATTGAAATTCAACATTAGGTTATAAGGTAGGTGACCTGTTTGGTCACCTACAGGTCAAATTTGTTTATATACAACCATCAAATTCCAGTTTTCACCCTTTCCAAGCTCTTTTTTTGCCACTTTAGTTTGCCTTGTTTTACATTAGACTTACGCCACATTAGATCGACTAAACCGTTATTAACACAGATATTTCTTTAAAAAAAGTCCCCCCCAAAAAAGGGATTTGAAATTCTAAAAAAAAATGAAATTCTGCAATCCTCATAGTGTTATCGTCCACAGGTAGGACATAAAAGATGGATACTCTATGACAATGGGAGGGTGCTTTCAGGCGAAGTACCACTACGCACCACTAGGTGAGGGCAGCAGAACGTCTGTGGCTTCAAAAGACAACCAAATGCTACATATTCACTCTGTCTGATCAGTCCAAATATTATTTATTCTGGCTCCTAAAGGGCATCAATGGCTGTGGATGAATGCTGAATAGGAGACTCAAAAACAGCTATTAATAAAGTATGTGAAGTCACAATGCCTTAATCTGCTTCAAACATCCAGTCTATTCTCTGCTTCTCTGCTTATGCTCCCCATATCAGGCTTTACACATTTGTGAAATGGGTAAGTGTAGGATAGGTGATTCACAGTCCACGAGCTGCAGAACTTTAAAACACACATGTATGCTACAGCTATACGTATTTAGATGTATTGAGTGCAGGCCAAAGATTGAACAGAGCTCTTATTATTCTTAATCTATCCCAACCTGTCAGATTCCTCTGAGCAGAAATGCCAAAAACAAACCAACCCAGTGAACCTGTCCATAGACGAGACCACAGCTTCTAATGCTCATACCACTCTGAAAGGATAAATGACATGGTCTGAAGTCTGATCAAATGAGTTCTCCAATCCAAAATACTCTAAATAGGCAAGCAGAAGTTTTCACGAATTAATTTAGTGCCAGATAAAAATCTGTGTGTTTAATTCACTTGAAAAAAAACACAGAGAAATAACGGATCAACACTGATTGAAGACTTTAGTGAACGATTGTCAAACTAAAATGCCTTACCAGAGCTCTGATGTTAATACCTGACCCTAATGAAGTGTCTTACCTGTATTCTAAAGGACTGTGTGCATCAGTTTTGATGGACTGGCTGGCATATTCAGGCCGATAAGCACCACACCACACCTGGGAAAAGAGAAATGATCCATTTTAAAAAAGTCACGCAAATGTGGAACATAACACTAAAATATCACACTCGGTAACCATTTATGTTACAGAATTAGGCACAAAGGTTACAATAACATCTGAATAAGATTAAGTTTGAACTTTTAGGCTACTTTTCATAATTTTTTATGAAAAGTTTGTTTCAAATAATTTTTCTCATTCTTAACAACGATTTATAAACCTCACACCCAATTTAAATATTGATATTCTTTTTAATTTTGCTGTAAATTCGCAGGTAACAAGCTACTCTGTACACTCTTTGTTTTTTCTGTCTCCTGTTTGTGTAGCTTGACATTCTGTTAGTCCTGAGCTGTGACTCTGCTCTCCTAGAGTTTAAATTAAGGTCTGTTCTCTGTTTACTGATATATTCCTTTCAGTAATAAGATATCCAGTCACCCCTTACTTGGGCAAAGTTGAGAAAGAAAAGTTGTTTGTGATCCAAGTCTAGACCTGGTAGATGAGGCTCTTCACCCTCCATTTCCACCCACTTCAGATAAGCCTGTAAACACACAGCTTAACTTGAAATACTATGTTTTAACATGAAGAGCATTTGGGAGTTACTCATCTTGGCCAAAATAGTTTCAAGTGGTATGTGAGCAGCTAACATTTTACCTTATATGCTTGACGAACCCCTCCATTGTCCGCAATGTTCTCCCCCAAAGTACTGATTCCACTGACCTGCAATCAGGAAGACAAATCAACAAATACACAGCAGCATGAAAACACTCATTCTGGTCAAATCATATGTGGTAATGCAAAAACAAACAAAAAAAGCTACATGTGCTTACATTTTGTCCACCTGCTAGCTTCCAGTTGAAGTTGCCGTATTGTTGCACCATGCACTGTGACTGGTCTTTAAAGTGCTCAGCAGAGAAGTTACTCCACCAGTTTAGCATGTTACCATCTTTGTCAAAATTACGCCCTGCAAAAAAGACACAAACGGGTTGCTGTTGAAGCTGTTTTCCGGTCACAATGCATCTTAAAGTTTGTGATAACAGATTTGAAAGAATTACTATAAAAAGACAGCACATGATTAACTATAGGCACATCACCGCTGTCTCACCATTGTCATCAAATCCATGAGTAATCTCATGTCCGATAACCATTCCTATTCCTCCAAAGTTAAGGGCCTGGTGTTGGTGTTTACTGAAGAATGGTGGCTGCAGGATTCCTGCAGGGAAAACTGGACAGACAGGAACCAGTGAGCAGTGAAAACGCAGTGTTGGAAAGACGTGTGGATCGTATGGTTGCACATGGTAACCACTGAGGCTACCCGCAGCCATGCCCACGTCCTCTGAAGCTCTTACCTATCTGGTTTCTGTTTGGTGAGTAGAAAGCATTCACCACAGCAGCACCGATGATCCACCTGAGGAGCATTTTAGGCAGAACCTGTTAAATCACTGTTCTTTGTTTTCATTTGAATTTAGAGGCGTAAGGTCCACACACATGAAATAAATTACGATTTGAGAAAGGTCTGTCTGCATAATGTGTTATGTTCAAGAACACCAAAAGAGGATACAATGACTGTCGGCTGGACCTCAACAAACAAAGAAAATGACACACAAAAATCAGTGTCTTCCACTTACAAATCAGGATCAACAGGCTCTCTGAGCTTCTTCAGACTCTTGTGTGCTTCAGACTTAAGGTTCTCAAGGATGTTCTCAAAATAGTTTTCCTCACTGAAATTCAGCTAAATAACAAACCAGTCATAAGTATGTATGTTGCAAACATTTACAAAGTGGAAGAAATTGGACTCCATTTGTACCTACATGAGCATATTCCTGATCTAGCTTCTGGCTGCTTTCCTGTAGAATATGGTCTGGATAGCCAATGTGTTCCTTGATTGCCATTGCCTAAAGAGATGCAAGTATGACAGTGTGACAAAACCTCACAACGCCTGGAGAGCTGCAATGATTTTCTCTTGCTTGTATACCTTCTCTTTTGCCTTTTCCTTTGAGGGAACATCCATCCAATTTAACTCTTCCAGCGTTTCTACATAGGCTGTCTGGATCTTAGCGATGAGGTCACTAACCTGTGAACACAGCACAAACATCGTTGAGTCCCATGGGGAGACTGTATGAGAGTACAACATTCAGCTCCAAGGCGTTCAAAGCACAGGGCCACAGCAGCAATCTTTATGTATTTTGCACAGTTAAAGTTATTTGATGCATCAGAACAGTTTAACTTTTAATGCTTAAATTTGACTGAAGAATGAAATACTGGGAAGCAGCTAGTGTGTCAAGAACTGGCTTCTAAATCACTTTGACCTGTGAATTTATTACAGAAATATTTCTCAATGAAGCAAAATTGTGTTATGTTGCGGTTCTTAGTGTCAAAGTGCCCATTTCTTCATCAGAAAAACTTTTTTGGAGGTTAAATTTGGATTTGAAGTGTTCCTCAAACACATTGCAGTTGAAGGAATTTTGGCATTTCTGAAGTTTTATCTTAAAAATGTCAAAGACTGATTGTCAGTTACCCACAAAAAGAAGTAGATTTTGTGTAAACTGTTCATGAAATGTTTATAGTCATGAATATCATTTTGGTTTCATCAGTCGATAGCAGAAGACTCACCATCTGTTTACTTTCTCCTGCAAATGTCTCTCGCACATAGAGAGCTCCAACTGCGTTCTCCATGCTGCTCTGAACATATCTGACACAATCCCGCCACCAGGCATCCTCCACTGTTGTCCCATATAGCGTCTGACCACACACACACACACACACACACACACACTTGTTATATACGTTAAAGCATGCCTGTGATGTCAACATGTTAACGGTTGCATCCTGTTCTTCACACCTTTCTGTAACGGGCTCTGGCGTCTTTAAAGCGTCTGCTCAAGCTATTAACTCTGTCTATAACGAGCTGCCAGGTGAGATAGTTCTGCACAGTTCTGCAAACATAGAAAGATGGTGTTAAATTGTCACTCCACGGTGTGTCTTTTATGTGACTCTTCCGTCTCCATGGCCTTGCTTTGCACTCACCGGACACTGTGTCTGGAAAGGACTTCATTCATCTTCTCAAGATAGGGAGAGCTGTACACCACCACCTCCTCCTCCTGTTGGACATCGATGGAAACACTCGACAGGACACCTTGAATAAATCGTGTCCAGTTGAAACCCTAATAAACAAAAGGCAAAGCCGTGCATTTTTAATGTATTCACATCTTGAAACACTGTATTTTTACAGGATTAACAAAACTTTTCAAAAATTACTTTACAAGTAAAAATGAACCAACTCAATAGTCTGTGTACTGTATTTTCCTTTTTTTTTTAACCACAAAGTGTCCATTCCCCAAAACCTGTGCGAACAATATCAATGATCTTTTTATTTCCCTAACTAGATGCAAATGGTGTGACTGATTGTCCTGCTAATATCAAGATTTGCCCAAGGGTTAAAATCCCCCTGATGTATCCAATGGAAGACAGAGCCAATGCATTGGCATGGTAACGAAAAAGTTTTTGTATCTGTAGCCCTTAACTGTCAGTACACTGAGGCCCCCTGAGTTGTATTCACATTCTTCATCTGATATTTCTTTTTTCCAACGTGAGCGGGATATGCAGTTTTCATAAATCAGTTTTATAGAAACATCCTCATCCTGTCATCCTGTCAGGCAGTTCTCAGATCAGTTAATACCGAGGTAAGGTCGCACTCACATTCAGGCTGAATGTACTCTGCAGTTCATTGAGAGTCATCTTGTTGTAAAGAACGGTGACATCTTGACGCTCCTCTGCAGGTGATGTCGCCTGTCCAGCAACAGGGAGGTAAAAAAGCTTTCCATGACATGTTTAGCGGTTTTACATGTTCTTGTCTGCTCTTTTATCACGAGTGAGATCTCAGTTGTCATGTTATAACAGGCATTAAGCAAATGAGATGGCTGAAAGCCTGGCAGGTTTCCAGATTAAAACTAAATGTTGCGTTTGGTCATTTATTGGAAGCTAGACAGATAGTCATTTTTCATCTATCATTAGTAATCTTTACATTATCAATATAGTCATTAAGTCCCTGTCCAGTCATCTAATTCCCCATTGTGGCTCTCACTCACATTAGCAATGTCTGTCTCCAGTTCCAGCACTTGCATCATTTCCTCCCACACTCGGTCATCATCTTGAGTCAAGTTCCTGTCCTCTCTGGTAATTTTGGCAATGGAGATCATGAAATGTAGGTAGGCCTCTCGAACCTGTGGTACAGCCAAAAAAGCTATGACTTTTGCTTTCACAACACAATTAAATAAAAAGAAAAAAACCAAAAAGATGTTCAACACAAAGTAATTTTTTTTTAAATGATCAAGTTCTTCAGATGTAGAGGTTTTAGGTGTTATTGATATCTTGTAATGGTCTGAACACCGTAAACAAAAAACCCTCTTAACGCTGACACACGTAAAAAAACAACAACAAAAGAAATGCTCAGAAGAAAAACTGTGAGTGCACTTTTTATTGTTGTGATTTAGGTGAAATGTCACCTTTTTGTAGTTTCCATCGTTGAAATAATAGTCCCTGGATGGCATTCCAAGTCCTGGCTGATCGATCTATCCAAAACACAGGAATAACAACGGCAATTCAGTTCTGTTTTTTTATTGGCTTAGCAGTCAAAAATAAAACAAACAGGGCTGGAATAATGGTCGAGCCCATGAAGCGCCTACAGCCACACCAGCACTCTTCGTGGAGGACACAGATTTCATAGCAGTCCATCAGACAGCTGCTGAATTATTCAAGTCTGACCTAAACTGGACCTGAAACAGAGTGACTGAAGGACTGCCGTGGCAGCAGTGTGCCAATATCACTGAGACACACTGACCAGTCTGACGAACACTGGTGATGTACTTCTAAATTTTTAACGTGCAGCTTAACACGGTAAAAATACCTGAAAATCAGTAAACTTGCAGAAATGACACAGCAGATGTGCTCACAGCTGAGTGCCCCTAAAAGTGTCCGGCCGTGATGTCACATATAACTGTTGTGGTGTGTCGTCATTGGCGAAAGCGTGGCGCTTACAGCTCCCATGCCCTGTTCTTCTGCTGTAGGTACTGGGTGGAGCACTAAATATGCACCGCTATGGCCGTTTGATAGATACTACATAAATACTGCATAATAAATGGCCCCATGTCGGCTGCCATGACGGATAATGGAGTGAGAACGAAGGGTTGAGAAAAGCCTATCACCTGCTGATTCACAGGTTGCTATAGCGATTCCCACCTCTCCAGGGGATGAGAAGAGAGGGCAGAACACACAACTGCAGTTGGGGTGAATCAAACACTGAGAAGAGCCTCCAAAGCCCCTTCTGAGCATGAAAAATGCAACCTAAACCAAAAAGCTATAGCTTCAGCCAAAGTGGTTTGATATTGTGTCATCAGCACATTACACATCCATGAAAAATCAATTCACATATCCAGAATTTAACTGGAAGTATCTATGTCTATAAAAAGTGTTAAATTTGAATGGTTTGACTTTCACCAACAATCCTTTAAAGGGGATAAATGATGCCAATGCGGGGAAAGGCGTGCAGGTTACAGGTTGCTCAAACAACATCCCGAAGCAGACTTCTTGAAGTTTGCCAGCATAGATTTAAAAAAATATATATTTTGTGAAGTGTAAATTAGATTATTATTGGTTGATTGCAGTGAAATAGTTGAATGTTGCCCTCCAGTCCTGTTTACATTCCTCCATAACCATGTGTGGGAATCATAAAGATTTTCTTTCAAAGCAGTATAAAAAAATGTGAGAATTCAAAGTGGCCATTCATACATATGATTGTGACATTTCAAAAGATTTGAGTTACCAAAAAGGTAATACAGTTAGAGAAATGAGAAAGTCCAGATAGACATGGATGGAATGGATCGTTTAGTGGGATTGGACGACAGTAGTGGGAGAAAACATGACAAAGCAGCCTTATTAATGCAAATGGAAAGATTCCTTTCATATATTTTTCACGAAAGCACGAGCTGTTATCTCACATAGATGATGTGGCGCTGAGAGTCTCGGTCATCTGTCCACACATACATGTCCAGTATGACCTTCTTGTGGAAACGGGCCGTCAGTATCGCCAGTGTGTCCTCAAGGCTCCATGCTTCCTCTGAAAATAAAAGGGAATATAAGCACTCAACGTGAAAGCTTGCATGTAGCTGTGAAGTGCAGAGGGGCAAAAATCTGGCTGCCTCTCTGGCTCTGCTGCACATCCACTAGGCTTGCTGTATTAATCCGTGTGTGCAGATGCAGCTACGCGGGGCTAATTCTGTTTAAGCTGCAGTCCACGCTTACGCTTAATTAATGTGGCAAGAGCCAGGGCCACGAGGAAGAGTGGCATTGACTATTTAAAGCATCCTTCAGTCCTGATTGAGGACTTGCTCCTCTTCCCACGCATCACTCTCATAAACTCCACACCGGACTGTTCATCTGAAAAGGCTGGGCAGGCCTCTTGATCCCACCAACAAAGCGTATAGTCAGCAGTTCAGTGAGTGCAAATATACGGGCCGTGTGTGAAAACATGTGTTCTTATGGGAATGAAGTCTGTGGGTGCACATTCCACTTCGTATAGGTGGGTTTGTGAGTTTAAGAGAGGTATTTCTACCTGTGGTGGTGTTCCAGTACTCTGATGCCACAGGCCAGTCCCCGACACTGTCAATGAGCTTCAGGAGGGGCTGTGAGTCGCGCTGCTCGATGAGACCTTCAGATACAACAGAAAAAACTGAGTGTTGTCTCCATGGTCTCAGGATGCATGCAGTGGAACAAAGGTCACTATAAAACAATAGAAAAATCAGCAAGATAGAAATCGGGTGAATTGGGAAAAACTGGAACATTAGGTGTCATTGGAACTGCACCAAAGAGTACCAACACCTCTATGGGCAACGGCGGGTGCAAAAGCAGATTAGCTCTATTCATTAGTTTTCTCACGTTTCTTTTTTATTTTATTCTAACTCAAAGCAAATGTTCCCTCTAAACGGACATATGTAAAAAAACAAAAAACAGGCCATCACAAATATTCACCCCCTTGGGAATAAGTGGTATAGAAAAGGGATGGATGGATGTTCAACAGGCTCTTGATTTTTGATTTTATGATAATATCAATAATGTCAGCATAGTTGATCATTGTTTTACCTTACAGTATACCTTATGGTACAAAATACTTTTAGCTGAAAACTTGTGCTGTTGACCATCCTAGGGCATACTCTACAAAATCTAGCAGTCTGTAGTGACTTTTTTTCCATTTATAATGTTGAAATTGGTCTTAACAGTGAACCTCAACCCTTTCCCCCTTTTTCAATAAAGGTTGTGATGTGCGACAACCAATTAATTAAATTCTATTGTTTTGCATTAATAAAATGTGACATAAACGTCACATTTTGGAAATAGATTGTTGCAAATTTTGATGTTGACACAACGACGGCATCCTGGCAAATGGAAAACCGTTTCCTGTTTGTGGAGGCAAAAAACACCAGTATTCAGACAGATCATCGAGGGCCTTACTGTCATTCATGCAGGATGTGTAAAGTACTTTAGCTTTCTTGATGGCGTCTCTGTCCTCTTCATTCACTGTCTCAAGAACACCTGCAACAACAGAACATGTGCAAACACTTCCTGTCTGAATAAAGCCCACACACCGCTCCGAACGCCGCAGCCCACTGAGCCGCAAAGGTTAAAGGTAAAGTCCGGCTGACCTTTGAGGACAATCTCAAGCTTGTCTCTCAGAATGTCGAAAACGCTGTGTCGGGAGCTCGTCTCGGGGATGACGTGACGCTCCAGCCAACCCCCGCAGGCGTACTGGTAGAAATTATCACAAGGCTTCACAGACTTATCCATGTTCTGCAAGAGGCGAGCAGCTGTGCAGGATCCCAGAGAAAATCGAGAGGAGGAGAGACAGAGACAGGGCCTGACTTTGTTTGCAAAAAACAAAATCACAGGGAGTGCGGAAAAAAAAGCAAAGCCTCTCACCTGCAGTAACACAGTCCGCAGTTGTGCACACATTGTTGAGGCTGGAGCCAAACAGCTGGCCTGGAACAATCGGCGTCAACAGTTATGAAAGGCTCTACAGGCTATTTGACAAATCAAATCCAAACGCAGACAGAGAAGATGCTGTTGTGTAACGCGGTTATTTCTGAGTCGCCCGGGTCTGCGGTCTCTGTCCCAGGGAAGTAATGTCTGTGTCAGCAGTGGCTGCGGTCTGTCACTTTTGTGTGGCCCTGCTGATCGGGCAGTAAAAGCCATCGCTGTGTATATCAGAGCCGGAGGCTTCAACCTGGCACATGCCAGCCTGCTGATGCCACTCTGTGTTGTGTGTTCAGGTCACAAAATGAAACTCACCTTCACCTGTTGAGCTCAAGGAGACACTTGGCCTGCTGGATTGTTCTGAGTTGAAAGGAAGAAACACGTTTAAAAAAAAATGTCAGCCATCATTTAACTGCTATAGAAAAAAAGTCTACAGAACTGTTACTTTTCATTGAAATAAACTCCACATTGAAGCTGATATTTCGTACTTTTAGGCTAGAACTGTTCGTGTAGCAAACATTCAGTGTCATCAGACTTTTTGATCATTTCAGTGAGCGCCATTCACCATTGGTTGAATAATTAACGTTTAATGAAAGGTTCTCTATCTTCTCATGTGCCAGTGCAGTTTTAAACGAACAGACCAGGGAGAGACTTGTCATTACTGCTGTCATCAGTGTTATCCGTTCCATTCCACAGTGAACATGGCTGAGCTTTTTACCTTTCAGTGCTGATGTGTAGAGGACAACCAGCCCGGCCAAAGCACAGCTGACCAACAACAGCAGCACGGAGAGACCGATTTCTGCAACGGTCCAGCGACGCTTTCCAAGTTTACCTGATTTCTCCATGATATCCATTTGGCTTTCCGATTTGCCCATATTCCTCCTGACTGCCAGCTCTGTGGGAAAGACACCGTTAAAGTGTGGGTTGGTCCAGGCGCAGAGCTACCACTATGTGTGTGTGTGTGTGTGTGTTTGTGTGTGTGTGGGCTGCGCAGTGATCCATCGGTAAACTGTGCCAGCTGACCTGCAGTGAGTGAACTTCAACTGCTGAACACCTACAACAACTTCACAGACAGGAGTTGGGAAGTTTGTTGCACAAACACATTTTTTTGCTGTTTTCTAAAGCGATCTAGAACATTTCAGCTTATGTCATTTTACACTATAAATATATATATATATATATATATAAATGATAAGGCTTCAAACCAAAGTTTGTGATAAGTCGTTAGCCCTTGTTGGCTTATTTTTACGAGAGGTTGGGAATGTTTACAGCAGACAATATGATTCCTGATGTGTTTTTTTATGAATGAAGAGAATAGATTATATTTTATATTTATGTGTCATGCATCCAAATTTGAAGAGAAAATTACATTTTGCAAAAAAGCTCATTTGTTTGTAAAATATGACTCGCAAAATGTTGAGCTCTCAAAATTGAATGAACTTGTGCTTATAGCTGAGAGAGAGTCCATTTGAAATTTATCCCAAAACATTGCTGATAAGTTTGTTTCTTGCCGGAGAGAACAGCAAATAAATGAAGTTAAACAGTGTGCAACTCCATTTTCTAGATGTAAGATAAACTTACATCTAGAAGTCTCAGATGATAATGTGTGTCAATGAAGAAAAATATGCCAAAAAATAAAAAGAACATTTGTAGATGTCTTTGTGTAACCTCATGTAAACAGCAGGTAGTTTTAGGTACAACTTATTTTGAGACGTGACTGGGATGGATCTCACTCTGGTGGATTATGTCCTTTTTAATTAGCTTAGACCAGTTCCTTTGTAATGTCGCTAATAAACACCCTTTTCTGTATTTTTTCTTCACTCTCACCTGTTTTCCATCCTACCATTGCTCCTTCTGAATGGAACATCTGGTACAAAGTTATTCTTTACTTGGATCAATGTGATGTTGCTTCCCTTCTTGTTACCCATTTCTCATGAGAGTTTCTTTGTTTCTCTTTTGCCTCCATTGAAAGCCTTAAAGATAGCCTGCTGACTGCTCTTGCCCTCTTCTCCATCCTGCATTTGGATCTGTTTTCTCCAGCCTGTAGAGTCGCCCTGAGGTGTCACTGACTGGTGTTTTGGGTCTGAATTGGAGCATTTCACCTTTACAATCACAGTTTTTAAGGGCTCATCCCACCTCTTATAAAACTTTACTCATTAAACTTTGCCCCACCGAGCAGTTCATTTACAAACTTGCCTCTGGCTTTATCGATTGGCTGCAGGTGTTGTTACTCACAGCGAATAGTTCGCTATTGTGCATCAAATGCGACATCCATTCTGGATACAATTAGCTAAACAGTAATGAACCACTGAAGTTACTTTTCCTGACCATTGTTTTTTAAGATTTCGGCCCCACCTTGCCCCTCATGCCCATGCCCACCCACATCAAGCCATAAGCCTATTTCAAGAGAGCTCATTTCTATGCTCAATAATTGCGTACGTGTGAACACAATATCGTAAATGAGTGTTTGTGCAGAGGACAAAACAGCAATCAACCAGCGGCTTTCAGCAGCTTTGCTTTGTATCTATTCATTCTGCCGCACCTGTTTCCTCCATAACCATCCCCACCGCCCCATCATTAGGTCTGCCAGGGGATGGGCTGTAAATCAGAGGTTCATGCTGCTGCACCCCATTTGCCCTTCCTGATGAATACCCATGGGCACATGTCTGGCACCACAGTGATGAACAGCCGTCATGAGCTTGTTGAGCTCCGCTGCCATCCACAGACAAGACCAGCATCAGAATGCACAGAGAGGCTAACGGAGGCATAATCCTAACGGACTGCACCCCCCCCCCCCCACTTTTTGGAAACCTGTCAAATGATGTGGGGTCTGTTTTTGTCAAGGCAATATCTGCTGGTTACCAGAAGGCATTTAAAACATTTGCAAATGTTTTTAAATAATGTCAATGTGACTCAAAGAAATCAGGAAGAATCGAACAGTTTTAAAAAAAAGGTATATTTAGCCATGTATGAGAGATAATGAAATGCACTAGTGACAGAAAAAATAGATTTACTTCCACAGAGCAACACAAATAATGATTTAAAATGTATATTTCAGAAGTGGCACAAACTGAACAAGAAGTAATCATTGAACATCAGTTTCTTTCTTGGTTATAACTGTAACTTTTATGAAGTTTGATAACCCCAAAGAGAGAGGACACTCACTGAAGTACTTTTAATATTTTACATGTTTCCACCTGTGAATGTTCTTGATCCTCCCCAATTTTGTGCTGCCTTTTGTTTGATTTACAGACAAATGTTTAACCACTAAAATTACCATTACATTTAAAAAATGATTAAAACTCTAGGACAAGTTGTTCCACTAAGATGAACTAATAATTATCATACTTAAAACCACTTTAAGTGAATGTTTAGAATTTTAGATAAAGTTGTTTTGATGCATCTTATCAACAAATTATGATCTTATAAAAAAATATTTAGCGCAGCAAACTTAAAAAAAAACATCTTATCACTTTGTCATGGTTGTATAAAACTGATTTTGTTAGAGCAGAGTGACAGTATGAAAAGGGACTGCCGGTCAACACAGGACTATTTTTTTTTATATTTACAATTTCTGTTGCGTTACACCATCTAAAAGAAATTACCAATAAGTAAATGGCAGCTGCTTAATTGCAAAATCAGGTGTACCCACTACTGTTTGACAAAACATGCAAAAAGATGGAGCTTTGCATTTTGCATGAAGCCTTTAGGGTAATTTGATTGATTTGATCCCAAATCAAATTATCTGAGTACATGAGTCCATCTTTAAAAACGTCCTTTGCAGATTAACTTGGCAAGGCTGAGATATTTGGTGGGGAAAATATGCGAAAATGGATGGCTTCATCAGCAATGAGCAAACATTCCAGTTGCGTGCATCCTTTCTGTTATTCTTAAAATTGCCACTAAAGTGCTTTTATAATGGCAAAATACCGGACTTACTCAAGTTAAAAGGACTGCTGCAATGTCACAGAGGGTCTGCACTGACACTGGGCTGTCAATTGCATTGAAATGGTGACAATCAATAAATTAACCACAAGGCAACCATTTCAGTTGAGTTAAAAAACGAGTCGTCACATCATAGCTGTTAATGAAAATACATCATGTCGTTTGTTTAGTAGGAAACATAGCCTGTTTAATCACAACTTAAATATCCTAGAGCTAAATAACAAAAAACAGATACAGCATAATTGTTTCAAAATCATTTCTGTCTCGGTGAGTAGAAATATAATACGACAAAACACACTTTTGTCGGACCCAACAGACAACTGTTGGGGAAATAAAATATCATGTCCAGGAGTTATAAGTGGCACATGAAAAAAGGAACACGTTGTTCTAAGAAGAAAAACAGAGTGATAGTAGAAAAGTTACTTAAATTAACTTTTCATTCGGAAGTGTAAACTGTCTCATTTTTTAGATAATGTGTATTAGGTATGTTTTTAAAGATTTAAGGAAGAAGCACCCCTGTTGAGGTTTATATATTCATCATAAGAGTTCTTTCAGTCAGGGGTGAGAGGGAAGTCAATGCAAAACCATCAGTGTCATTAATCAGCTCAGCATCAAGATTCTGAGTTAAAATGAAGTTTACTGATATACAGATACCCTCTAAAATGATCTTATGTAACTTTCAGTATATGTGGCCAACACATCTGGCACAGACACTACTTTTTCATGAAGCACATTTAAAATGTTGTCAGAGTGGTTTACATAAAGCATAGAAAAGACGATGTAAATAAAGAAGGCAAGAGTGTAAGTCTGGTGGAAGGGACGAGTCAGGGTCTAAAAGATACACTCCATAAAACACATTTTTGATGTACCACTGAAGTCTGCAGGACCACAAACAGACCAGAGCTTTAGTGTGTTCAAAAAGTTTATTTTCCTGACAGTGAAATCAACCTGTTCTAAACATTTTTAAAATCTCTTTGTTTTTGAGCAAATTAAGACTACACTGTGCTCCGTGACTGGTACTGTTTTTCCCTAAACAAAATAACAAGGATTAACCCACAGGTCAGGCTGTGCCGGTAATCTGAACACTTTCACTGGCTCAGTCTCATTCACTGACCATAAGCACTCCACATGGAAAACACTTTCTACACGTAAAGCCATCTGAGCTGGTGAACCTCAAAGTGCATGCAGTGTTTTTTACTCTGTATTGGGAGATTCTGACATATGGGACCCCTAAAGGCAGCTCTTTCAAGTGGCTAAGTTTAAACACTTTCACTTTGTTACTTGAGGGCTAACAGGAAATAAGGGGGCTTACCTTTCGTAGGTGGATGGAATAGGTCCCTGAGCCGTTCCCCCACAGCGCGCTAATATCTCAAACACCCCTGCTGAGTATCCACTCAGAGCTGGTGTGTGGAGAAATGAGTCTGTGCTGCCGGCTGCAGGAGACGTTATCCACTTTGGTGTGCTACTCCGAGAATGAGTGAGACAGCTGAGAGGGAGGGAGAGCGGGAGAGGGAGGGAGCGAGGAAGAGGAGGCAGATGGGAGGTGATAGCATTGGATTGTCCGTGATTACATGACTGTGATAAGGAAAGACATTGGGGTTTTTTATGCTGTGAAGGTTTCTCTGTGTAGCTGAGGGGTCAACAGGATGCTGGATGTTGGAGAGAGAGCACCGGTTCCTTTCCTCACAGTGGAGCTCCAGCTGCTGAACAGATAGAACCGAAAATCTGGAGAGCTCACAGAGAGATAAGACGCCCCGCTAAAAGATGATCCAAGAAAATCAAGTGCCTAAGCCTATTTTTGCTGCTCTTATGTCATCCCATGTAGTCGTAAAGCTGCATATCTTCAATACGCTTGTTAGTTATCATCAAAACATGCATCAATCAGCACAGGTGTCCTTGTCATCCTTCTGTCCTCTAGAGTCCTGGTGATGTCGTCTCCGGGTGGAGTTCTCCCATGTGTCCGAGGTATCAGGTGCAGATCTGAACTCTGGCGAGGTGACAGATTGAAATGACTCATTAGAAAGCTAATTAACCACACTGATTAGCCGATGATAAAGAGGAAATAGTGCACTGGCTGATGTTTGCAGGCACAAAGTTGCTGCTTAGGCGCCGTTATGACCAGAGACTCGACAAACCTTGTCATTTTAATCAAACAATGTTTGGAGCTCAGAATCAGCAGAGAGAAATCTTGCAGATGTGTTTGTACTGAAGACGCTGCAGTCATTTAACATGACTGATGGAGTAGAACTCAGCGGGGAGTGGAGATTTGCAGCCGAGTTCATCATTTATTCATAGATTTTGTTTAGAGGAGATAATGTTTCCTCCCATATATTTTGTGTGTGTTTATGCCAGTGTCTAATTCTATCATGCTGTTGAGTTTGAATTTGACAGTCAGCATCACACATGTTTGTGTGATAAATAGAGCTTGCAATGACAGGAAATATTAGATCAGCAATAAATTTCCGTGATTGTTTATTAAGGTTTCTTCATTTTAAAGACGCCCTGCTTTAAATGAGTGGGACAGCAAATGGATGGGCGGATGGATCACCAAATAGACAGAGCTCAACTTCAGTGTTATACTTTCAAACTTGCATTTGAAAGTCTTTTGTTTCTTTGGAACTTCAGAAATCTTAAGAAGTAGCACATTTGTGTACCCAACAAAAGGTCAACTGCTGTGCAATTTAAATAGTGTTTGAAATACATCCCCAACATAACTGTCTATTCAAAAACCATCAGATTAGATTCGAAGTGTCTTGAATGCCTGGCTAACAACTCCAAATTACTCCTGCTGGACAGTGAGATGGACTTCTTATTAACAGGGATCAGATAAGATCAGAGCAGAACACCTAATCAGGCATAAAAAGGGTTTGGTCATCTCGGTGTCCTCCTGAACTATGAAGTCATACCACAAGCTCTGAGGTGGTATAAACTCAATTGCAGGCCCATGGAAGCAGGGTCACAAAGACTTGCAAATGCATCTTTGATGACTGAAATTGAATATGAATCGAATACCTGAAAATATGTTAAGATTAGATAACTCTTTCCCTAAGGCTTGACTAAAGAGGCACTCTTACCTGTTCAGCCTGATCTTTGCTTCAATATAGAGTTGACAAATACAAAAGGAAGGTTACTTTGGTTGGCCTTGCTCATTGTTTGTTGTTTTTCTGAATTATGCTGCCCTGGTAAGATTTATTGGAGTCGCAACTTCAACTTTTTTTGTGAATTTTGTGCTTTTGTGTAGTGATTTTGAACTGGCCTTTGCACAACTTCAAACAAGCTGTTTTGGTCCCATCAAATAATTATTGCTGTATTTTCCAGTCTGGATATTACACCTTATATCCATGAGAGTACACCATATGCTTAGTTTTTGAGAGCCCAATTACGTCTTAGTTGGGAACCTCAAATTCAATTATGTGAGATTTATTTGCTGTTTGGTCGTTTGTTCTTGCACAGCCTCCTAGCAAATGCTGGACTGTTTCAGTTATTAGTGGGTCTGAAAAACAAGCTTGAAAGCTTTTTAATTAGGCTGTTTAGATGAATGCTACTGTATGTATTAAATGGAGAAGGCTGCTCAACTTTGCTAAAAGCTGGAGGCAGAAAACATGATGGGTGTTCAAAAACTCTCAAAACAAGAAGAGGAATGGAAAGATGTTGTGAATAAAGGATGGTTGCTTTATATAAAATAGCAAAAAATTGTCTCATCATATAAATAGAATAAAACGATACCAAAATACAGGTTATGTGAAAAGGGACCTAGTATATACTATTTTTGGCTCTCTGTCTACAGAGAAGCACAACCAGCTCTCATTGTGGATACATTTACTAACAAACATTTATATTTTCATCTGCACTGTTTCAAACTTCATGTTTAATGGCAGCTTTAAAGTTTGCTAGTTGACATGTGTGGCAAAGTGTTTCTTCTCTTCATAATTTCCTGCTGTGAACTGCAAGAGTTTAGAAAGCTCAGAATATTTAGGGTTTAAATTCAAACTCTAACCCGAAACCCTAACCCTGCCATTTTGAAAAAGAAAAAGAAAGGAAATGTAATGTGCCTGACAGATTTTTATAGTCGGACTTATCAAAAGCGGATTGATCATTATGCATAAACATTTTATGGCCCAATTTAAGCTGATGAAGTCCTGAAGTCAATTTAACTCGTTTGGCCTTCGTTAGGTAGTCTCCGAAGGCCTTTGCTTGTTGCTCCCCAATGATTTATGTTATGTCTGAGAGTTGCTAACAATGATCAGAAAAGCAAATATTCTAGCAACAGCTATATTTGCGCGCAGCCTCAGCCGAAATTGTTTCAAACGGTTAGGTGTCAATGTTGTGTCAAGAAGCATCTGATAACAAAAGCTTTATTGGACAAAGGAAATGAAAATGTCCCCCCACAGGCTCATTAAGTCAGGGACCAGTTGGGTGAAATAGGGGTTTTAGTTTAAGCTGTAATTATCGAAAATTAATAAGATCGATCTTATTTTTTGAAGGCAGTTTCTGGAGGGTTCTTTCTCAAGAATAAAAGGTACAGCATTCAGTAAAGTCAAGGCCTTTATGCAGGACAGTTTTGCATCACACGCTTGGCAGACCAGCAAAGACGACCTCAAAGCTGACCAATGAATGACACGGTTCTTTTCCTCTATTGACTTAAATCCTATTGAAAACTTGTGGGCCCTTCTCAAACATGAGATGTACAGTGAGGGCAGCAAATACAGCTGTATGAGCAGTATTTGGGCGGCTGTGGTTGCTGCCTCAGCAAACCAGAGACACCTTTAATGAAAGTGTTCCTGGCAGCAACAGAGGGCTCTTGACAGTGGTCAGTGAAGATTTTCAAAAGGTTAAAAAGTATTGTTTGATTGTCATTTGCAGAAGTTAACTGATGGAGCTGAGTTATAAGTGTGCACGTCCACATATTACTATGAAAAAGACAAAACTCATTTTACTCTTGTTGAGCAATTAGGTAATTGGTTTCCATTGGATTTTAGACTGCCCGAGAACTGTAAATCCTGTTTGATGATATCTGTCTGATAACTGTTTGTAGGTAAGTCTCATGATTAAAGAAGAAATGTTAATTCATTAGATGAAATAGTGATATTGATTCTTGTTAAGCATTGCTAGTTGCTGAGGTGGTCTCTCAGACATGACAGTGGTCTTTGTCAGCTTGGTGGTAATCATTTAGAAACATTATGTTGCCACAGCCTGAAACAAAGGCTGTGATTAACTGGTATGGTCTCCCATTGTTGATTTACTGCTTGTGTTTAATAGTCCTCGGAGAAGGCACACACGCCATTAAGCACAGGGCTGACATAAAAGCCCAAAATGAGGTCCTGCTGGCTGACTCTAAGAAAGAAAATGTGAAGAAACCGTCATGGTCCTCACCTCACAAATCAGCATCTGTTTGATAACCATCAACGAGTGTATCACACTGAAATACGAGTGTCCAGAACATGGCTCTTTTCATTGGCATCTTCTCGCCGCAGACAAAACATAAGCATGGCAGCGCATAATTGCTTGAGAGTAAATTATTTTAAGAACACTCATAAACAGGCTGTTTAAGAAAAAAACAGAATCCACTTTTAAGGGCCCTGCTATGCAGAAAAACATAAGATGTATGTTAGTTTTACTCTCTTGTTCTATTTTGTTTGTATCCTGTGCGTGTGGCCACAAACATCACTTTACTTGTGCATGCATAGTGCGCTATGTGGATATCGTATGTAGCGTCTCAGACACACCGACAACAAACATTCATTTCCTTGATTGGTTTGATCAAAATGAAATCAGCCAGCTCTGGAATTTTCTGCAAATGACAAAAGAAAAAACAAGGCAAGATGGGGTTTTGGTTTAAAACAACAAATGCGATACACATATCAGCCATGATCAGCAGAGGCCCCCAACAACATACAACTCTCTTTTTTATTTTATTTCCGTCAACTCTTGTAGGAATTAGCAGCTCATTTCTCCATTATGGTGGTCTGACATTTGATGTGTGAGTTTGGAGAAGCAGCGGCCGGTTGGATGTGAATTAATGCCAGTAATGACCGGCTTTAAACAATGGACCTTTTACACTTGCATGAAATGATAATGGGAATAGAAAATGAACAATGACTATTAAAAAAATAAATGATGACAGCTTGCTTTGTTAAACTATCTGTACACTTTACTAGTGAATAATGAAGCAAATAGCTGTTCTTCTGTTTACAAAACTGTGCAGAGTGATTTTAATTCTCTGATTTTCCTGATTGTGATCATTTAGAGTGTGAACATTCAGCTTGTTTGATGAAGGTAGCGGGACAGTATCCCTTTCCACATGCTGTGGTCTTACTCTTTATCCGTCCTTCAGGTTGTGGCAGTCAGGAACGCATTGTGGCAGGTCTAATCCTCCTTATCTTAATGGCATCCAGCCCTATCACGGAGGCTGTGGGGACAATCGACCGTTTCCCTTTTTTATCAGCAAAGAGCACTTCTCTCACCAATCCTGCTAGTCATGCCTCCTGTCAGATCCCCTGCACCATCTCCTTCAGCTGGTGCTTCTCTCTGTAATTATAATATCCTCTTGTGTTCCGTCACAGTGGTATTTCAGAGGAGAAGCCTTGTTTGGGGGTTGCTGCTGTGGATGAAAAGGACAAATGTTCCATGTTTTCCGAAGAAAAACAGATTCACATGCACACAGAACACGCAGCCTGAATGCATGCCTCTGCTATCGTTTATCTTCCCTTCACTGCCTCTTTTTCCCCTCTCTGACTATTGCCACCCTGCAGCACAGGAGTCCACAGAGGCTTCACAGATCAGATTAAAAAAAAAAAAAGCAGAGATAGCTGAACAGGGGACCATCTGTGAATGCCTCTCCCTCCCTTGACTTTCTGAAGACCCCACACCATGAAGTCTGTAAAAAGCACAAACTTTGGTTTCCCTGGACAACCGCCAAGCTCGGATCAAGTAAAACACATATAGCAATGATGTTTTAACAGGCACATCTCTCAATGGTATTATCCGGACTAGATGATGAATCAGACGACATCCACTCTTGACCGGAGGTGGATAAAACCTGCAGCTTAGACTAAATAAACATTCATACCAGCAAACATTTATTCAGTCGATGCTTTGTTTTTGTGTCTTGCACGTTGCAGACAGGAAGTTCCACTGAGGGATATGCCCCTCACTTCCGTTTGTTTTCATTGGCTGCTGCATGGATGAAAAATGTTACTCATAGTTCTAAATGCAACCGTAATTAGCATGATATATCTCTTAAGATAGTGGAACTGGATTCTGAAAACAGAGGGGGAGTAGAGGGACAAAACTGTAATCTGATGACCAACCGGTGGAGAGCTGGAGTCTGCTGGACAAACTTATAGAAAATATCTTAGAAAATCTTCTAAAAGCTGTAAAATGATCTTTTTTTTAAAATCGATAAAACATTAAAAAATGTACTCCTATGCTGAATTGCCACCTTAATGTGGTAGAAAAGTTTGTATGGACCTAAGGGGTGTGTTGTTGAGAGCATCAGCTCTCGTTGGGGTCTTCCGTGGCAAATTGGTCTCAGATGAGAGATCAGACTAAAGAGTGATTCATAATAAAGATCAAGTGACCTCATCTGGAAAAGGGAGCCAGGCCCAGTGGAGGAGCATGCTGGCAATTTGCCTACATATTATAGAATAGTGAAAGGAAATATATAATTTCAATTTTAAATCAGTTCTAATACATTTGCTGAAAAATTCAAGGGCTTTCTACATTTGTTAAGCGATTAATTAGTACAGAAAATGTGTAATTAATCTTTATCACGATTACATTTTTCTGATTAACAGATTTAAAAAAGATCTGACAGAAGATCTCAGTTAGTACTTCCAAACTGGTTAGCTTGGTTCAAATGCTGAAAATCAGTGGTAACACCAAACATTACACGGTGGTCGTTAAATCTCTGAAGCTTCAGTCAGATAATGATTATATTTTGACAACTGATGTCAGCTTTGCATGCTGCTCTTCCCTATTGGACGGGCGACCTGTACAGGGTGTACCCTGAACCTCACTCAATAAATGGATGAACTTTGCTTGTTATTTAACATAAATTCATGGATAACACTATGGCGATTAAGGCTTTTGGTTTCAGTTATGCGGTTCACGTAGTAACATAATCTTATTTCATTGCGAACAGCAATTTCCCATCGCCCAGCCAAATGAGAAGACGCCTGACAATGTGTGTAATCACTGTCTTTCCTTCCCAGTCAGTGTATGGATGAGAGATGGTAGATCATTATTGATCGAATAAAAAGGATGACACTGGACTAATTAGCCATTCTCTAAAATTAAGACTAACTGAGCTATCTTATTATTATTTCAAGACATTAAGATAGGAACAGTGCATGATAAATGGTGAAAAGGGAGGTTTCTTTTACCAAAGTGATGGTATAATAAAGGCTTTTCAAGGTATCAAAGGAGTTCTGGCTCTCTCTCCCTCTGTACACCTGAGGCAAAATAGTCACACTCATACAAAAAATATACAACCTGCCCTTTTCTGCACTCAAAAAATCGTCTTGATGTTGCTACGGTTGGCTAATCTTGCCAAAAAATGTTCCTGTGTGCTCAAGGGAAATGTTAGTAACACCCTATTTTAAATAGTTCGGGCAAGTAAAGCTCATTTATAAAGCAAGTTTCAAGTGTTTGTTGTTCACTGCTATTTTTTAGGTGTCATTCAAATACTGAAAAAAAACACACAAAAAAAACAACTCATGACAGCTAAAAGCAAGTTATGTGTGTATCAGAGTGACCGTGAAAGGCGCACAACATCTTAAAAGGTGATTAAGACACAAGGAGCAAACTCTTTGAGTATCTCACGGGTAGAAACATGCATTTCAGGTCCTCATTGTCAGTGTACTAAGCTACACCTATCACTTCAACCCTCAATTTCCCAAAACACAACTGCCAAGACCTCACTTTACTACAGTTTGGGTTTGGTCATCTGCTGTCCGACTCAGACAAAATGGCAGTCCTGCTTCTGTCGACCTCTCACAGACGTCTTTTAGGCTTGTCTGACATCTGAGACTGCGTTTCTTTTCATTACAGTCTGAGCTTTGAAACATATGCATAACTTAAAATGTAATACGGTCAAGCCTGGTGGTACACGAGTTGAAAAGATTACCTGTGGAGCTACAAATAAGGCGTTACAGAGACCTCCACATGCATAAATGAATATCCAGTAGATCTAAATAACTCGTCAGGATATGACAAAAAGAGTCAAGGAAAGTCAAGAAAAGCAGTCACATCACCAACGTTTGACTAAATCAAATCTGATTGGAAAACAACTTTGCTTCATGTCAGCTATGTGTTTCCACTTTTTTCTTTTGTTTTTGTTATTGATGTGTCAGATATCTGTGCCTAATGAACGATGAAACGTTCTGGCGGTGAGCAGTAATTGCTTAGAGCCCACAGTGGGGATGTAATTAGAGAGACAGGGAGGACTATATGACTTCACAACTGGCCCTGTTTAATGATAATGGGGTGCAACTTCACACTGCTGTGGTCAGCTAATCATACTGGACTGGCCGGGACAGCTCTCGGTGCTACCAAGTCGTGACTGGAATACTGAGCAGCAGCTCGCCATCGCTGTTCCACACCATTCACTCTGCAGGGGATCAGGCATATGATTATGGCTGTGACCCAGCGACACCTGCAACGCTGTCATTAGTCCCACCGCAGATGGACAGGTTTATTGTAAATAACCTAAAGTAAACCAGAAGATGGACACTGTAGATCCACATTTTTCCAAGCACAGTCTGTCCCCTAAGAGAGAGGGGAACATTACATGGAAAGTTAACAAAAGATAATTGCAATCTCTGGTTGCTCACATTTGATCAAACAAGTTAACGTCAATAAGCATGTCTTTAAAAGTAAGAAGAGCTGATAATTATACTATGGAATCCCCCCCACCCCCCAAATGAAATGACAGGAAACTACAGGACATCTTTGGACTGGGTTTACATTTTCTGCTTAAATGGTCTTGAGTGTCTCTGTGTTTCTGCAATAATGTAAACTGCATTCAAATTGCTGACAAAACCAAAACATAAAAGATGGCAACCTGAAATACACATAATAAATTGAGTCAATCAGATATTGGCAATTTTAGATTCCTTTCAATTCTAAACCTGTGGTGATATTAGAATTTGTATGTCCGCATTGGTAATGCTGATAAAAGAGTGAGGACGAGGACTTTGATAATAATCATTTTAATAATTTACCGCAGTGACCTCTGTTGTCGTTACTGGCAAGAACAATATCCCACTGTAAAGTGGGTTATTTATGGTTTTCTAGCACTGCAAAGACACAGTTATATGAAAATCATTAATTTGATACGATGTTAACCTTGCCAGCTGGAACTACTTGACTTTTATGTTGTTTTTTGTTATAGTATAATGGATTTTGTATTGGTTCGTGTAGGGGGTGAAAGCTGGCTGGTCCATCTCCTTCCTGATAGGGTTATGTTGAAAATATTTTCTGTCTGTTGTCTTTGAAGCTCTATTGGAACTGTAAGGCCTACTATGTCTTCAGTGCAGCAGTGTTATCTCGTTAAATTTACTTGGGCATCAATCATTTTGCAATAAAAAGTTATCATCCATCTATCTGCCTTGAGTCTTCCGGACTGGGTTTTGATCCTTCAAAACGCACACATGATTACCACAACTGATAAACACCATCACTTTTATTGCTGTGATGAAGTCATTGTCATGACTTACTTGGTATTCAGTGTCCTCTAAACTTAAACCATAAATTCCTCTTATTGCTGACATGAATCCGTCACAAAGTACACAGTGCCCTCTGCCGTTCAACGTCCCGTAGTTCAGCTTTGACTCACGTATGTCCCTTTAAGGAGAGCCCCCGAAAGGAATTGTGGGTATAGTGTTAACTGCCAATCAAATCGCTGTTGTCATCACGTTGCTATGGAGTTTGCGTGGTTTAAATCACGGAAGAGACCAACATTTTCTGTGTTTCTGACTTCAAGCAGATATTAAATTCATAGCTAGGATTTTTTTCACGATGTTCACAGATAGATTAAACGTTTTGCGAGAGCAAAACCAACATTTAATGACGCATTTAAAGCAGCAAAGAGACAAACTGGAGCGAGTGAGCGGCTGCAGCCAGAGCCGTAAGAGAAGGAGAGAGGAGGCCAGAGAGGAGAGGAGGCAGCCCGATGTGACGGTGACTCTGACCGATGGAGACCGCTGTCCCGCCAGAGCAGCTCTCGCCAGACCCTCTGTTAGATTTGCAGGTAATTTGATTTAAATGCTCTGAACATTTTAACAAAGCCAGCTTAAGGGTTTTGTTTAGCTCTAAATTGCAATTTCGACTGCCTTCATGTGCCTGCTAATGCTTTTATTCCATGTATTGTTACGCATGTACATAGGCTATGTACTGAAAGAGATAAATCATCTTTACCTCAATTCTTGTTCATGTATCATGGTAACCCCCTTAATTCAACACCTCTGGATGAGTTTATTAATGGTTTCCAGTATTTACATTACAGTATTACATTGCAGTACAAAACAAATGCAGTTGATGCAAATTAATGGGATTTGCTCCCTTCTAAATTAAACCTAATGACGAGTAACTGTTTTTAAAGAATGTGTAAAATGTATGTTTTCAGCTTTAAATGTCACATTTGTGCTTTTGTCATCAGTGTTTTTGTTGTATTTTCTAAAGCCAATTTGATACCACTGTTGCACTCCACTATAAAAAGTGATGTCCATGTTAAGATTTTTCTTCCTTTTCTTTATCAGATACTTGTGAGACTCAGAGAGGCGAGATGGAAGGAGCCATCCAGCACCCTGCTTCCTCGCCATCTGGGACCTCTAGGCACAGAGGAGTGGATGCACAGAATGCAACACATTTGGAAGGCAGCAACAAAAAGATTCACTTTCAGTCCGGAGTACAGGGCATGCGACCAGCCAACACAAAGTCCTGTCCAGTTACGGACAGCAACAAACAGGTGCGCCAAGGACCAGCACTGCTTCAAAGTTATTGCCATATTTAGTTGCTGCATTACATAACAAGAGACAATTGTTAAGGATGCAAGAAACATTTTGTAACTTTTTTGAAAGGTGCAAAAGTTCACTCCAACGCATTTTACCCTGTAAGAAGTATGTCACCGGCTGTCTCAGAATGTCTTTGACATTGATTTCTCTGACGCAGGCAGTGCTTTTGCAAATATCCCGTTTCATTCATATGGTTCAAAGCAGAAAAGGGAAGACAGAAAATGTTTTGTAAATGGTGCACTTTGGACCCATAAGGGGAGGAAACGTTTTTTGGGGGGGATTTAGATATATTTCTGTATAGTAAAAGGTTCTAATGTCTCTTAGATGACCAGCATGCTGTGCCTTTAATAGAAACTGCAAGCAGTGAATTAAAATGACTGAACTGGAATACATTGCATCCCATCTTTTTTGCAGAAAGTGCCCCAGAGCCGAGTCTCATTTCAGCCTAACGATTGTGATGACCCGCCTACCTCAGACAGGAATCATTTGCCGCCTTTATTGGGATATGATTGGATAGCAGGTAGATCTCCATTGACCCGTCTGTTATACAAAATATACAAGCTGACGACTGACAGCAAATGTTTGGGTTTACCCTGTCAGGAGTTCTGGATACTGAGGACTCATTGGTAGAACGCTCGGATGATTTTTTTGATGATCTGCGCACGTTTAGATCCCTTCACAAAGACGAGTGTGTCCATAGCAGACAAGCAGAGTGAGTTTTCTACAGATATCCACATGTTAAGGATGATAAAGAAAATGTCTGACAGTTTTATTTTATGGGAATTTACTGACTTTTGAAGATTTGTTGAGGAGAGCCATTTGCTCCCATCACTGGGAACAGACGACGATGACCAGGAACCAAACACGGACACTCATCAGTGTAAGAGGGTTAATTTATTCTACTCCGTTTCTCACTTTTTAGTTTTTTCTTTTGTCTTACTTCAGATTAACCAACATTTGTGTCTGTTTGCTCACCTTTTGTCCAGGTACCTTCTCTTACAGGATCAACAGCAGACTGTTTCCTGTCCCACTCCAAGCTCACGAGTGCTGCCCGGTGTGTAAAAAGCACAAATCCTCCCATCCTCACACTGCTGACGAACCAGCCCTAATCAGGTACTGATGACGCACGGTTTAGTTGCCTTTTGAAGCCTCTTACAATTAGCACAGAAATTAATTGGCACCAGCTGGAAGACATTCTTTGTTGTTTTAATTTGATTTACTCTTGATTCTCCCAAATGAAGACAGAAATTTCAAAGATCTGTGTGCAGCTGCTGTGTAAACTGTGTTACTTTGATAAGTTTGTACCAGGATTTATTTGTGTTTGAACTTCCTTTAGACTACTATATAGAGAAAAAATTGAACAGGGCATGTTCATTTTGACTCTAATCACATGTCTTTGTTTAATTTTACTTATTTAAAGTTGTCTTTGACTAATGTGTTCTTGATTAAATCATCTACGTCTCAGAAGGCTTGGGCAGATAATTACTTACGATTAAAATAATTTCATGTTAAAATATCAGCAGTCATTCTCAGAGGCAGTTTTCTACCTATGAAAAGATGATGCAAAAGCTAATGTGGGTTTGCCTGTTATTGAAGACACCACCTTGTACTTAAGCAAAATATATGAGGTACAACACCTCACAGCATATAGCCACAAATTCAACTCCTGTTCTTACTTATCATTTTTTAAGGGTCAGCATTCCTTGCATCAATCTGTTGCCGCCTCACAAGTACAAAGCTCATCGCCGATGCAGCTTTGACCCTTCTGACAGTTTGGGGTTACCATCGGTAAGTTACAAATGACTTGAAATGATCAGGACTACTACATGATTTGACCTTTACTCTATAAGATTCTGGGCTTGGAACCGACCCCCAAGCTTTTTTTCTCGCTGAAATTATTCAAAAATTGTTCTTAGAGCTGGACTCACACACCTAAACATCGAATTTGGGGGGCGAATCAGTCATGATTGCGTAAACTCAGCGAGCCTGTAAAAGCGCTCAAATCTGAGAAGTGAGACTGTGTGTCAAGTTCTAATAAAGCTGCACTCGTTCATCACTTATGTCTGATAGCTAAACACAACAAAAATTGGAACAGAGAAGAAGACCGTAGAGACTACATGTCTACTGAAGGTCACTTAAAGCAGCCTAAAGTAGTGGTTTTACAGCCATGTGAAAATCTCTCATCCCGTCCCTCAGTCCGGTGCCACAGGTCGGACATGTTTCAGTCGTAGACCAGCCCTGCACAAAGGAAGCCTTAACGTTGACAAGGAGCTTTTATTTTGGCTGCAACTCAGATAATTTCACGTTACTGATTAAGGAAGTGTAGCATAACAGACTTTTTGACCCCAAGCATTGTGTTAACATCTCTGGATTTCATTCTAATCTTCAAGGATGTCCTTTTCCTTGTGCAGCACTGTCTCTCAGGCTGGTCAAACAAAGGTCAGAGCTTCCTGCCACCACCCAGCAGCCTTGATCTGCGGAGCAGTCTTAGAAAGCCGGACTCCCTGAAAACACAACTGGAGGTGAGACATTACAATCTTTGCGTTTACACGATAGCTTGTTAAGGCTCAGGCCCCCTTAGGGCGGTCCCTACTTTGTTCCATTTAAATCCTGTTGATTAAAATTTGGGGGTTTTGGTCACATACAAGACTATACAAGATACTAAACAAAATTTTGGCTTCAATTGGATTGAGATGGGGATTCACGTTCTCGTTTTTAACTGAATATTACTCAAAGCTGGATTCTAAAGTGTCACTCAAAGGGTGAAAAGGGGAACAAGAAAATGCACTCTAACCACCCCTCCACAGAGCAGACCTCAATCTAGTGGGGAATCCTTCCAATGAGTAGGTAATTCAATCTCTCATGGAAATATGAAACTCTTTTTCTTTTTTTTAAATCTCCATATTTCACTGTGTTGATTTATATGGCATGGTCAAGTAAGTGTACATACAGTATTTGTGTTTTTCTGATCTCAAGTTTGTTACTTTAAGTATCAGAAATTTACATTTCACCTTCTTGTGGAACCCAAATTGAAATCAGTTCTATTGTTTTTCAGGACATGGCTGCATCCAAGGTGTTTGGAGGTCAACGCTCTGACCAGATCCTAAACGTGTCTTGCTTGCCTCGTCACAAATTTCAGCACTTCTCCCCGATCAGGAAAGTGGGAAACACATCTTACCCCTCATCCTGACACAAAGTCTTTTAGTTTTACTGGATGACTGCGCTTCCTGTTTTGTTTTGGTTTTTTTGTTCCAGAATTGCTTTTGATTCAGCTGACTTTGCTTTTTTTAATTATATTTTTTAGAAGGAAAAAAGAGCATCAAAAGCTGCAGGTAGCTTAAGTGGGTCATTTGAAACAAGAGATGTGTTTGATGTTGCATGTGAGTTGCAGAGACAAAAATAATGTTAGACTAATAGGTTGTAATAACTGACAACACTCAAAGTTTGGCAGCTGTGTTAAATGTAGGCTTAGCAGATTCAGACTCAACATGTGACTGTCTGTAGCCTTGTGGAAGTGAAGCAAGTGTTCTGGGTTGCATCACAGTTTTTTTTTTGCATACTAAAGGTTAAGAATGTTTTTACAGTCTAACTTGCAACATTAAGGAAATCGCTCTGAATCATTTGTGCCTCTCAGGATGCAGTTTGCTGTTTCCCAGCTGTATGCTTTGGCACACTGGTCCATGCATACTTCTGTTTTCTAACTTCCTCACTTCGGAAGGGAGAACTCTAGAAAAGGCAGCGGACTATTTTACTTTACTGTTGCTGCATCTCACAGGAAACCACAGCCACCTTTATGTTCTTACACATGTCATGTACTTTTTGTGATCCAACTCACCAAACTTTTTTATACCTCCAGGTGACCGACAGATCTGAATATCATAGATCATATGAAATGTGTCATCATGTGTTGAGTGAATTTAAAAAATATGAAGATGTCTTATTCGGTTTAATATGCTGCTGTTTTTTTGTTGTTGGTTTTTGCGTCACAAATATTTGGTGGGGACCAAATACGTTTTAGTCGCATTTTAATTTTACAGAAGTTCGCAAAGAAGTCGAATGTCACTGATTTCCTGAATGCCAAGCAGCAGTTTTGAAAGCATTGTTGTTCTGTCTCGCAATAAAAAATATTTTTCTACCTTCAGGGAGCTCTTGGTTGCCATAGAGATGAACAGGATTTGAAAGTCTCTTGGGACTGATAAAACCTCACTGCATAGATCATCCCCATTGTTTCTGTTCTGTAGTGATGGCATAGATGTGTGCTTCGATCAAAAAGGTCCACATTGGATTGCTGCGTCAGTTTAGAGTTATATCCTCATTAAAGATAAAGGCACATGCAGCGTTTTCATTCCTCATTCGAAAAAGTTTTAACTGTGTCATTTAAAAACTACCATGCCACACACGAGGAAGGTATTCATCAGCAGAGTGACCTAAATCACTGCAATAGAATATTGAATTAAACGACTTTAAAACACATTTCACATATGCTCGTCATCTTTTACGTTGTTTTTTTGTTTTTTTTCTGGCTGCAGCAGCTCAGAAAAACATTATAAAATTCCTAGAGAGAAGAAAAGAACAGTAATGGACAACAAACGTGCTGCTGCTGTTCTTAAGTAAATGAACAATGAACAAGCCGTGGGAGGGGAAAGTTATCATGAAATGTCAGCTTCTCACTTGGGCGCAAGCAGCTAGTCATAGGGGCATTAAAGTGGGCACAGCATGAACTTAGTACAGTAATGTAGCTGAAGAAAAGATACTGTCTAGCTTATAGTAAGTTTTGGAGAAAAGTAAACCTGTTTGTACTTGATTGCTTCCTTGTCTCCGAAAATAGAATGGCTTTTTGTGGGATTTAGAGCATTAACTTATTGTTATTTGACAGTCGCAGGCAGCTCAACCTGTGTTTCAGGTTTTAAAGTAATATGTTGCAATCACACATGTAAGAAAAATCCAGCAGGGGTCAGTTACTTAGGTGGATATTTGCATTATTAAGCAGTCAACAGATTTTAGTTCATTCTGGTTCAATCGGCCTTGGTTCTAGTGTGTCAGCAGCTCTGGATAAACAAGAAGAGAAATTCCTCATTGGTCCACTTCCTGTTTTAGTAACGTTTTTCTTTTTTTTTTCACTCAAAAATATTTGCACTGCATATTTCCCACCAGCTCGTCCATGAAAGGGGACTGGACAGCAACACAAAAACTCCTCTCATTTCTCTTTTGCTTACAGACTCTGTTCTTACAAGTATCAGTCTGCTAAATTTAGAATTTAGTTTCCCATGTCAAATTATAAACATTAAAGATTCATCCATGTGAACCAGAAAAACAAGATCCTTTTCTCACAGACGCTGCAGCTTTCTTGTAAGCAGCCACAGATGATAAAAAGATTAAGCCGCAGTGGGTTTACGCCGAACATTTACAGGTAACCGACAACATGATGTGGAAATGGAGCATAGCTTTTTCTAGACTGCCTTACTTGATCAATATTATTCACATCAGTGAATGTCGGTTACTGTTTGCAGGCTCATTTCCTCTCTCTACACAGTTGACACAGTTCAAGGAAACTGCTCTTGCTTTGAGAGTTGACCCGCCTTCACAAAATGAGCAGTGAAGCTCACATGCCGGTTGCTGCATCCCCCGCTCTGTAATTTGCTCTAAAGAAGAGATGAGGGACATACGTGTGCTACTGGTTCTGTGGATTGTCCAAACTACGACGGTAAGCTTTGTCACGTTTGCCTGTTTTGTGTGTGTGTTTGTGTTTTTATCAGGGGTTGTGGTCAGATAGGTAATCTGGATTTGACAGATGAGCCACCATGTGATTTTTTTTTCAAAAGCAGTGGTTTTAACTAATTCAGACATTAAAGGAGTTTATGCCATTCATACGAATGCAGTCCCTTTTATTTTTAACATCTTTTACAGCCGCTGTCCTGAGCTGGAACCGTCATGTTTCTCGTGAATACTCCTGTATTTCAATGCCAATTCAAACAAGGCTTTACTTTCTTAATTTAGTGTTGACAGTATTGCCTACTTGTTTGACTTACGGTTACTCGGCATCACATTCAGTTTCAGAATGATTCCAAACTGAAAAGAAGCAGCAACTTTTTATTCAGTGGCGCTGTTGAATTGTTACTCAGTTTTGGGAAGCTGCCAACAGAAGATGGGGGGGGAGACAGTGTTCTCAGCCGGTGGCTGACAGTAATTACTTGAAACTCTTTTTGTCGTTACTCTACACAATGTGCATTGACAGAACAGAGGTCTTTAAGGAGCCGCCTCTGTTTCCTGTAAGACGAGAAATGCACTGCTGCAGTCAGCATATTCTGCCTTGTGCCTGTCATTGGAGGGTGATTTGGCAGCTTTCAGTCAGGTGTGTGAGCAGCTACATCGCCACGATTCCTCTCACCACATCAGCGCTGACCTCAAGCTTGACTTGAGGCGCTGGTGCATGCGTGCAACACCCAAAGTTGTACAATTTTGGGGAAGCCCACAGAGGTTTATGGTAGATGTGAATGAAACCATTAATTCTGAATAAAATCTGCCTATTTAATACTGTCAGCTACCCGGTCTGAAAAAAGGTGGGTGCATGTGTGTGGTCTGGGCCTACTTTAAACTTCTATTTAGAATAACAAAGCCATTTACCGGACACCTTGCCTGTTCCCCTCATTGTCTAATGACTAAACTGATGATTTTGAAATTACTACCTCATCCTCCTTTCCTCTTTAGGTTTGCTCTCTGCCTTACGTTCCAGACTCAGATGGGAAATGTCGTAACACAACGACAGAGTACTTTCAGGATGGTTCCAGTCTGTGCTGTAAGAAGTGCCCCCCTGGTAAGTGCGGTCCTGTAAGCACAGAATTGTATTTTTCAAGCTTTACTTTAAAACAGTGAGCACACCTGATGCTGCTCACACATATAACACTGAGGGCAGCATCAGCATAAAAATTGCGTGGCTAGAAGTCTGAAACTTAAAGGCTGAAAGTTTGAAATTGTGGGTGTGAGAGAATATAAAAAGCACCTACTGTAGAAAAAGAAATCAAAAAGCTGCCATTTCCTTTTTAGGCCACCGAGCGAAAAGCCAACGCACGTGTCACTAACTCGCTAATTTCAAAATTTTGTACTTGAAATGTAAATTAGCTTTTTGTCAGTTTAGGTGCTGAAATTAAAAACATTATATCGGTATAAGGACCCTCTAAATTGCCCCTAGGAATGAATGTGAGTGTGTGTGGTTGATTGTCTTTGCGTGGCCCTGTGATGGACAGGCAACCTGTGTCCAGCGTTTACTGGGCCTCTGGCCCATTGGCAACCCACAGATAACGTATAACATATCTGCATAAAGGAGATTCCTTTGATTATCAAAGCGTTTCATCAGGCGTAAATCACTGACATTCATGACTAAAGGTTTGAAGTGGTGATAGGAGTTGTGCGAAAAGATATGCACATGGAGGTTACTAAAACTGGCTGGTTGTTGTTTAACTTGCTAGTTTTGCAAGCTTGTTCAAAAGTCTGTCAAACAGAATTTAAAAAGACAAGTGCTGACTTGCGTGAGTTCAGGCCATACTACTACAGAGGAGTGTACAGCTACGAGCATAAAGCGCAACGCCAGCCCCCGAAGAAGCACGGAAGACAGCACGAGGAGAGGAAGCAGTCGGGTGTGTTGAATTACCTGACAAGATAAAATCCTTTTGGAAAACGCCCAAGGCTTATGTTTGGCAAACGTTGTGCAATATGAGACAGTTTCGCTTGGCTTATCTGGTTTTTTATCTAGTTGTGTTCAGATTTCTTTAAAACTTTGTTTTGAGAACCAATCGGTTTAGAGCACGTCCACTTAAATCAAAAACGCGTCATCCACAGGGATTGTTCTCTGTCTTGTCTTTCTCAATTTGTAGAACATAAAAAAACTCTTTGATGTTGTTGTACTGACACTTCCGGGCCAGTAAAAGTGTGTGTCTGAACACAGACAGTCATTTGACAGATGAGTAGTCATGTTTATCAGAAGATATCTATATGTCAGTCTTTAGGGGCTGTATTTTCCTCTATAGCCTATCTCTAATCTTGAGCGGAATGCATTGATTTTGAACTGTTGAGAAGATTGGCAGTTTTACACCTGCAGCTTTGAGCAAAACTGCTGCTGCTTTGCTCTGTATCAGCCATAAAGAGCATCTCCTCTACAATCCTCAGAGGTGCTTCTCTACTGGGTTTTTTTCCTGTTCGTTGTTCAGTTAAACAGTGACATGAAACGGAGAGAGGCAACTGTAGCTTTGATAAGCTCCTTCTGGAGCAAGGTATTTTGGCAGTAGAGAGTATAAATGCATTTTTACTGTGAAACTTTTCCAGCAGCCGCTTATCTCATCTTCCTGCTGACCTTATCTCTACCTCACACTGTGCCCATACTTGTTTTATATCAAACCTCTTCACTGAGTATATGAGAGCATCGAGCATGTGCTTACTGAACTGTCTTTTAGATACAAAACTGTGTTTGAAATCTCCCTCTCGCACTTTTTTTTTTCCTACCAAAAGAAAATAAATCACATATATTGTATTTTATTTAGGAAAATAATGCCATTTGGAGCTACTTTGCACCACGATGAATAAAGAACAATGTTTGGTGTTTACATAGGGAGCAACAATGAGCATGTGCTTCTGTGAGATGCAGATAATGTATTTTACACATGGATTCATTATTGTCGCTACATTTTTTTTTCGTTATTGCAGGGTATCGCATGAAAAAAGAGTGCTCTCAACAAAGTGACAGTGAATGTGAAAAATGTGGACCGGAGATGTACATGGAGAACTGGAACTATGCTAAAAACTGTTTCCCATGCACCAGATGCAAAGCAAGTCAGTACATACCTGAAATCTTACTTCAGATCTCACCCTTCATATCTTTGGTTTACATGTTTTTCTACAAGTGATAGTTGTAGATGAATAACCTATACTTTTCCTCATGCAACCAGGAAAAGGCCTGCAGATCAGCCAAACCTGCTCTCCGGCCAGAAATTCCATGTGTGTCTGCCAGCCTGGGAAGTTCTGTCAGATGGGATTTAATGACCCATACTGCACAGACTGTATTTCATATACATTGTGCAAAGCTGGTTTTGGAGTGTCTGTGCCAGGTAAATACTCTAATTCTGCTCTAAAAGTTTGAACTATTGTGTGATTATCATATCATTTGATTTTAATTAGAAAAATGTAAAAACCTTTGGTTGGATGAGCCCTTATACTTAAGGATTGTATACGATTCCTACTAAATAGAAATCAAAGTCAGTCTCACAGTGTTTCTGGCATTTGGTGTAGATTAAAAATAAATCTGTTATTACTTTTATGGTAAAAAGTTTGTTTATCTTTGATCAGGCACACCCAACTCAAATGTGAAATGTGAAAAGTGTCCAAGTGGATCATTTTCCAGCGTGGCCTCCTACAGTGATTGGTGTAAGCCTCATACAAGGTAAATTAAGGTGTGTCTCTGGACTACTTTTAAACCTCTCGAATATCTGACATTTTTATTTTTTCCCTCTCATTTTCTCTCAAGCTGTAACGGGAGGGCCGTTATCAGCATGGGAGATGATGTCTCGGACACCAAATGTGAAGAGCAAATCGAACCAACTGTGGCTGTGACTACAGCTCCAGTTGTGCTCACCACTGTTACTACAGAGGTGACCACAGTTGAAGCAAGCTCTGTTTTTACAACACCACACATACCACTTAATTCCTCAACAGCAGGCCAAAAAACAGCCCCTCAACGAGACACTTTATGGGGTATGACTGACATGAACACGCAAATCCTATCCCAACAACGTTTTCCATGTCTTATCTGAGTTTTATGTGTGCTCTCCTCTCTGTTAGTTACAGGCGTTGCCAGTGTCTTTGGACTCCTTCTCCTTTTCGCACTCCTGTTTGGCGTTTCTAGAAAATTCTGCAAGAAAGGTAATATAATTTATCAAAAAGCAAATGTATCCTATTTGACTTGAGTAAAATATACTTTCCTTTCTCCACTATAATTAATCAGTAAATACAAAATTAAATGACATGGCCTCATTTAAAAATGTTTCTACATCACTTTTCAAGACTAAACGCCCACTTTTTTCTTTTTTTTCCAGATCTAAGAATCAAACAACCTAAAGTAGATGCAAATGGAAACTGTGAGAGCAGAGATACTGTAAGTATTGCCTTCTCATCTGTGGGACTTTGCATGTGCATTTGTGTTCTATATCACAAATCAAAACAAACTCTCTATCAAAAATGCAAGCTTTACTAAATGTAAATTGCTCATTTTTGGGGGATTTTTGATAAGCAGTTATCTTTCTGATCGAAACTCAATTACATCAAGCAAGGTTCCATTTGTTTGGAAAAGATCTGCGGATAAATTACACATTGTATCAACCCACAGACGCACATTAAAGGCATTCATATTTGATCCAATTCTCCACAAATACAAGGCAAAGTAGCAGTTTGGAGTGTTTTACAAATATATAAAAAAATAAACATAAAATGTACATGAATATTCAGCCAACTTACAATTGAGTAGTGGTGTCAGTAGATGTTCCATTTCAATGGAGTCCACCTGGACAAACATCTTTGTATATGTGTTGTACCAAAATGATAATGTATCAGTGTAAAAACCTTCACGTCAAGACACCGATCTGCAGCAGAATATGAGAATATTTCTGAATCTCTGTAAAAGCTGAAAAGCAGAGCTGGTGCAGTTATTCTCAAATGTTAGAAATACCTAACCACAGATCTGGCTCCATAATTTGTCAGCCGAACAGGGAGGAGAGCCTGACAGAAAAGCATCCAACAATTTAACAGTTAACCCTGATGGGTATTTATGGCGTAATGGCCAGAAGAAAACTATCAAGCAATTTTGAATTCAAAACCTTTTGAGAGCATGTCTTAAAGATCCCTGTTGATGATCACAATGAAACAGGGTTTTAATAATAAATGACACTAACTTCTAAAGAAAGTTAGTGCCAAGATTGTAGGATCATTTCAAACTCACAGCTCACAGTTAAATATGACCCAAAAAAAACTGAAACAGAACAACAACACATATATACACATATATTGAATAGACTCTTATGACTCTAAAAGTCTGAATAAGCTTTTATCAAGTACTAATTGAGGAGTTTGAATACATATTTAAATCTATAAATGTCAAATGTGGAAAATATGACCAAATTTGAACATTCTGTTTGTGCTGTGTTTTTATAAGAAACAAAGTCCACTTCAGTACCACCACTAACTCCAACCTCAATGCTGATTGCGATTTTTTTACTTTTCTCATACATTAAACACCACAGGTACCATAAAGTAAAAGTAGACAGCCTTATGTTTTCTCGTGTTTGTTTGGATCTGATTACAGTTGTATCGGACTGCATTTGACCTCAAAAAATGTGAACATGACTGTCATGTTTTAGTCACAGTGACTGATGATACATTTTTTATTTCTTCCACCCACAGATCGACAAAAACTATATAAAGGAACCTGGCATAACGTCATTCACAGCTGCCACACCAGAGCAAGAATGTCTGCTAGAGAAAGTGGAAGTTACCAGTGACCAGAGCCAATGCAGCAGCAATTCTGAAACTTCAACCAGAATGGATGGTTACAGCAGCCACGAGACCATCGGCCCGTTACAGTCCAATGCAGCCCCCGAAAATCTGACCTCTGCCTTGTCGGAGCCCAGGACTTTGCTGTCCAACACTCCACCCTCCAGCATCCCAACACAGTCCTCCTCTCAGCCCACCAGCCCACAGGTCATCAGCCCTGTGACCAACAGCCCCCACGTCAATGTCAACATCACTTTACATATAGGAAATGGGTCCTGTGGGACCCCGCCTTTCATGCCCACAGACTTCAAACAAGCAGAATGTAGCTTTGGGACAGAAGATGAGTCCTTCAGCACCCCGCAGCAAGAGGCGGGCGAACATTTTCTGACGTCAGTCCAGGAGAGCGCCAGTAACAGTACATTAGAACTCCCTTGCTCAAAGGACTTTTCAAAGGAGTTTTCTCTTTAGAGTGATGCATCTGTTAAAACTATTTTACAATTTAAAAATGCAAAATTGCACTTGTACTGTATATATGCTATATTTTCAGGAATAAAAACAGGTTAGATATATTTCTAAACCAAAAGAATAGTCAATACTTTTGTGTTCATATGTATATAAGGTAAGATGTACGTAGAATGTGAATATTAATGTCTTTACTGATGTTGGTGAATAAAAGGGACATAATGTACAGATGTGTGAGCAATTGGATAACATTTTATACCTTTTGTGTATTGTGATTATTGTTACTTTGTGAATGCTTACTTTAAGCATTGTGTTCAAGCTGTTTAGAGTACCCTGACCTAAATCTCATTGTGTTAGAGTTTTGTTGAGACAATATATTTGGACAAAAAACTTATCTGCTTTGTTTTACTTTATTGTTCAACCTTTATTATGTTATTACCATTATTTTATTGTTTAATCTCATACAGATTACACAAGTGGTTTCAAAATAATAACATTTTTGAGTGTCTGACTATTCTCTATACACTATACACATAAATAGTCTGAACTTTGGTATTTTTTTGTGTGTGACTGTAGAAAACTGCTAAAAATCCACTGGAATTTACGTACCTTACCTCATCAGCCATATCGAAAACATTTTTTCTAATGATCAGAAACAATATCGGACTTTCTGACCTCCATACTGGGCCTCCCCTAAACTTTTTAGAGTTCTTTGGGAAGACCCACTTAATATCGAAATCACCTACCATCGAGCGTATTTGGAATACCAACAAGATATCACCATTGTTTCGGTATAGTATAGGAATTAGGAACTTATTTAAATCAGATGTGACTGGTGAGTTTTGTTTTTTTGAGGACTTCCTGACACTTAGTGGATGAATATGGGAACTGCAGCTGGTGACACAATAAAAAAAACACTCCTTAGCCGAATAAAAACTACTTAAGAAAGATACTGTGACAGGCAGTTTATAGCAATGGCTCCCAAACATACTTTGAATTCCAACTATTTAAAGCACGTATTCGGTTTCTATCATTGTATTTTACCGATCTAATCAAGATAAATTGCTCAACAGCGGGAGAACGTGGAGCGAGGAAGTATGAGCCGCTCCATTATTGGAGGGGAGAATGTTTTACATACAAAATGATTATAACAAATCCCGTCGATCTCGCAGATAATTTACGTTTCGTCGCAAAATGTGTTTTCTTTTATATTTCTTCTTGTATCACACGCAAGGACGAAACGTTTTGATCTTGCTAAAAACGATGGTTGACTTACACCTTCCCCATCTTTCAGCTCAGATGGTTGCGTCTGTTGCCGCTGTATGTTGCTCTTCTTCCTGAAAAGACACTTGCGTCGGTGCCGCTGATGTCGCGAAGGTGAAGCTGGTAAGTTGAAACGGTGTTGTTCGTTTTCATTGTATCTGTCACTGCTGATAAGACGTGTCATAGCTAGATTCGTTCACAGCGAACTCGCAAAACCAAAAACCGCCGTAATAGGTAGTTTATCTAAGAACTGTTCTTCATCTTTTGTGCCTCTGCCCCCATTCATCCTTCTGCTAGAGTTGGCATTGTCGCTCTGCTTGTTGGCTGTGTTTACAAATCCAGCTAGCAAGCAAAGTGGACCGAGCCAATTAATTAGAATAAATTCCACACAAAACTCGATTCCTTGACTTGAGCGTGTATTTTGTGTTTTATGACGGGAAGTCTGAGAGCTCGGTCCGGGTTGTTAAACCCCTCTCCATAGAGGAGTTTAAAAGGAAGACTGTTTAAACATCGGGAGGTCGATATCCGCGGAGAACACTGCTGCAGGTGTTGCCTGTTGCCTGTCGGCTCTCATGCAACTCTAGAAACGATAAAGAAATCGTCGACTAAGTATAAAAAAGGCATGTCAGAGAGGAAACGCATCGTCGTAAAAGGTTGAGTAGATTCAGGTGTAACCCCAGGTACAGAGGAAGCCAACAAAGTGAAAGTAAACTGTAGATTTTTTTCAATGGTAGATGTAATAAATGGCACAAAGCTACGCGTAATTATTAGATCATTTTAAGAGTGTACCTTTTAGACTCAGTTTTTAGACGAGTTGTGGATTTCTTATATGTTCTCAAAAAGCTACAAAATCCACGTTCAGCACACTTTTGCTTGACTGTTGTTAGATCACTTCTCAGTTTGCTTTTTTTTGTTAGTCCAGAACACCATAAAACAGTATGTCATTTAAAAAAAAAAGGGGGGGGGCTTTGTGGTGTTCTGCAGAAAACCATAGGATACATCATAATTGTTACTCAGCCTCACCTGACCAAATAATTGCTATTATATGTCTACTTTAAGCCTATCCTCATGAGCTGTTTGCAGTGTGGGCTGAGACAGTGCAGGACGCTTTTACGAGTAAGATTAAATATTAAATGGGTCCTCATTGAAGTCCGTTAGTTAATGTGTCACTGAAAGAATCTGTGGCTATTACCGCTTTATTTTAAATGCTTGTGTTGGTTTAAATGTTAGATGCATCTGATTGTTAGAACTTATATTCTGTCATTTAATGTTTCTCCAACAGCGACAACAGCATCTGGCCCCAAGATTTCTTGAATATCTTGTCAGTCGACCCCCACATGGCAGTAAAGCACTCGCTTGTAGATTAATCCATCTGCACTCATCGCCTTCTTAGATGCCTCTCGGTCACTGCTTGTGCAAATGGCTTGCTGTCTGAAGGACGAGCTCCTCTGTTCCATCTGCCTCAGCATTTACCAGGACCCCGTCAGCTTTGGCTGCGAGCACTACTTTTGCAGAAAGTGTATCACCGAACACTGGAGCAGACAGGAGCCTCACGGAACCCGGGACTGCCCCGAGTGCCGGAGGACATTCGCCGACCCGCTGCTTTCGCCCAGTCTCAAGTTGTCCAACATTGTGGAGCGCTACTCTGCCTTCCCGCTGGACGCCATCCTGAACGCCCAGAGGAGCTCGTATCCCTGCAAGGACCACGAGAAGGTCAAGCTCTTCTGCCTCACCGACAAAAGCCTGGTGTGCTTCTTCTGCGACGAGCCGGCGCTGCACGAGCAGCACCAAGTGACGACTATTGACGAGGCCTTTGAGGAGATTCAGGTCAGTTGTAGAACGCGCTGTCTGGCCAGCTCATTAGTGAAGATAAGGCTGACATTTTGCCGAAAATCATCCGCCCCTCATCGCATTTAGGTAGTCGCATTCACTCACGCCCCCCACCCCCGACATCTGCTCACACTGCTCAGCATCAAGATCTGTGAGGTATTTACGAGGCTGAGAAATGAGACATGCCTAATAGGCATTTCCTAGCTCCCTTTTATGAGTCACTGAACTTGGGTAATAATTAGACTCCGTTTTAAAATCCCTGTTTTGACCAGCGGTCAGTGAACTTTATTCTTTTGGGGAAAACTTAATGAATCAGTTTGCAGCCCATGTTGATCAAACGTTCTTGTAAAATGACTTCACACTGAAGAATAAGCTGCGTTTCTGTGCAGAACTTCACACCGTGTCATGGTCACAATGACACAACTGCGATGATGTGCTCAGACGGGCAGTAGCATCCACCGAGCTCTGTGCGCTCAAACCTTCCTCCTCGGCCACCTTTTGTCATCTGTGCTTTTAACTTGGCATCTGAACTACCTAGAAATGAGGAGAAATTTGGTATGTTTCCCTTTAAAGAAGTGGATCTGCTACCACTAGTTGATGCAGAGCGTTTGTCGAAATCAGGGGAAAGGGGACGAAAAAAAAAATTAAATCCTTCAGTGATTAATTTCATTTTAGTTGAAGGATTCTTGACAGTAATTGGAAGCTGCGAGGACATTAATTTCCCCACAAAGCTTAAATGTGTCATGCGTGTGCACAGTGAGTCGTGTTTTCCACATTAACAGGAACGGTTCGGTGTTTGCTTTCTGCTCACAGTTTGAATAATTCCTTTCCCACTGAGCCAAAATCCAATAACTGTGAAACAAAGCTCCTAATCCTGTTCCTTCATTGCTCCAGTAGGCATAGCAACACATTCTAGCCTTATGGTCTATAGTCGATCCCTGTTTCCATATCAGCTGCTTTATGTCACCATCAACGCATTTCCTGGCACACAGAGACGTTTCTGATGGAGTTGAGAGGGTTTATGGTGCATTAATGCCGCTCAACGCATGAGCTTTGCTAACCAAATTAATGTACCACAATCCATGCTGTACGTTTGATGACAACTAAGAGTTCCCCCACTGTACAAAGGCTCTCCTCATGGCACAGCGTATTTGTGAAAGGCAGCAGCCTTTGACTCCTCAGCCCGCTGACTTGCCTCAAGATGTTTCTGGGAGCCCGTTCTGCTCTGCTACTCCGAAACTGGAGAGCAAGCTGTGACTGAGCTCAGTACCATCCGATGGAGGAACAGGGGCCATTGAATTACAGACATGTCACTCTCTAGATGGAAGAACATTTGAAATTCAATGGGGCCCCCGTTGTTTAAGTGTATCAGATTGTTTGGTTTTCTGTTGTCCTGTGAGTCGACAACAGACTCGATGGTTTAGTTAAGGGTTTGTAACATTTGTTGGTAATCTTCCCTTAAACGTATGGAGGTGCAGAGCCCTGCTCAGTTCTGTTTGGCTCGCACAAACACTACAGATGCTTCACACCGAGCTGATCCATACACGCCCAAAGACCTGTGATCGCACTTAAATGTTTCAAATCTCTGGCTCTTTATTTTGAAACGGAAACCAGGTCAGCGTTGTAATTGGATTATAGCAAAATAAGGAGGGACTAAAGAATATAAATGCGATATTAGTAGGTATCAAACACAGGTAATTCAGTCGCATGATTACACAGATGGTTTCTGGGTAGAATGGAGCTGTAGCTGCTGTAAACGTAACGGACAGGACTGTGGACATAAATGCATTCCTCCTCAGCATCCAATCAGCCTCTGTAGGGGATGCTTAAGAAAGGTCAAAACTGTGTAATCTTGGAGCAGAAGTAATTAGGCCCAGCACAAGAAGCCTCTCTCTTCCCGGCCACCCGCTTGCCCCTCTGCTCAGAGTTGTTTTCAAGGCGTCGATCTGGCATTTTGTATTCTGGCAGGAGCCCTGGACGCTTCCCAGATACACAATGCTGAAAGAGAGTGTGAGCACTGAGGCCCCATCGGAAACAAGCGTGACCCTGGATGAGCTTGGCATGCCCGCCCTTCTTAGATGGTTTGTTGTTGAAAAGCGTCTGGTCCAGACACCAGACAAACAAATCTCAGTGAGAAGCTTCCACTAATGCTTAGACGACGTGCCTGTCAGTTTGTGGCGGAACATGAACTAAACTTCACGGTATTTGCGCGGCCACTCATAAACGCTGCACTGCGTGATGTTGGGCAGCGTCCCTGTTTTCCTCCTGTTTATTTCCAGGAGAGCAGATTTGAGCGCGTGTGTCAAAAGGAAGCAAACGTGTGAACGCTGTGCCTTCAGGTCGAGCTTCACTTAGCACGGGGCTGGACGCTGCTTAAAGAAAATGCCAAAACAATATTGCCAGGATGTGTTAAAGTGCTGTAACATTGTGGCCAGAGGGGCACATGGAGCCGATTACTGACGCTGCGCCGGCCTGGTTTCACAAAATGTCTTTTTTTCTTTTCTTTGTCGGGTTGGATTTCGATCTAAATCTTGGTCACTCTGTCCTGAATTGTCTGGATTGCATGACTAGTTTTGCTTGGAGGATACTACTGTATTCTTATTCAAATTATTACAAGAAACCACCTGCTCCATTCTGGAATGAAAAGTTGGGTCAGAGTCATCGGGTTTTCGTGCTTGTTGTCAAGCACGTCCAGTCAGTTGCGCGTGCGACAGTCAGACCATTAACGCAAGTTCCAGTGTCGAATTCTCTCTGCAGAGAAAGGGTGTAGTGTGAATGGCGGTTAGCCAATAAAGGGTTTCTGTGCAGGTTGACGATTACCTGTTATCATTTTAAAGATGCTCCCTGAAGTAAAGAGCACTGGTACATGTGCAGAATCGTGTGTAGGAGCAAGAAAATACCATGTTTTCAGTACTTTCTGCCTTTGTGTGGCGACGCTTTACTGAAAAAGGAGATTCACTGCTGCAGGGTTTACAGAACAGAATTTTAATTTCCACACAGTAGACACTCAGGCAGCTGGCCCAGCCCAGTGATGTCTGTGCATTCTCCGATGCAGACGCATAAAACAATCTCTGCGTAGAAACAGCCACTGTCTGCTGGACTGTCCCCGGTTCCGACTTCTGCCCAAGCCGGAATCAGCACCACTTGAAAAATGGCTTGTTTACGTTGATGGATTATATTTTGCTTTTCGTATTTGTCACCTTTCTGCTACCCTGTGCAACCGCTGCCTCAACTCTGACAGTGTTTTGGCTGGCCGCTATCTCCCATGCTTTTTGTCAGTGTGTGCAGGGATGTAATCTCCTTAGCTTGGCATGTCACTCTGTTGACCTCAGGCCCTGAGTCTTGTCGCCATGTTGAAAGCTTTACCTCCTGCTGTTTTGCATCCCTTTTGCCCCCCCCCCCCCCCCCCAAGCCTCTTTGTGGCCAAGGTGGCTGGACACCGTCACACCCAACACCTGACCGATGCATGTTGACGCACACACATCTGGCAAACGGTCACCCTGCACATAATTGCTTGCTTGGACATGAAGGACATCACAATGAGGATGGGACAGGATTTGTCACATTTGACTGTGCTGTTTGCTTCAGGGAGCAGAGAATTCACAGGGAGCTATTGTGTTCTCTGTACATTGGTATATTCAGGCAATTGTATTGAAACAGAATGTAAAAATATATTGTATGAAAGAACATGCTCTTAAGCTATAAGACTGATAAGCTATTTGAATGCGACAAAACATCTAATTTAAACATTTTTTGACAATTGCGCTTGATTTTTATGTTCAGTTTATAAATATGTATGTGTGTGTGTGTGTGTGTGTGTGTGTTTGTGTGTATATATATATATAGCGCTACATAACAGACATCATACTTGGCCCCATTCCCTTACCCAGCAAAAGCCATAAATTGAGGGAAAAAGGATTTTTTATCTTCTTCTTTTTTTAAATTTTAGGCAACACATTTAAAGGTGACAAAACAGCTCGCTGCCCAACGCCTGCTACTGTGGGACCTCTGGCGCCAAGTTAAATAGAGGTTTGCTGGATCGCCGTTTCTCTAATTGGGGCTGGATGAAGCTGTGCACTTATTACCACACCGCTGCGGCCTTAAGTTGGAAACGCATTCCTGCAGAGGACAAAATGGAAGCCACAGCAGCCACCGTGCCTTAATTGTGATGATGGGGACAGTCCGTGGGCTGTGTGCAGCCGCCGTGTTGCAGAGCCAGACACTCGTCCTGCTGTCAACTCGCCCCAGGGACACGTTTCTGCTCCACCGGTCATCGGTGTAAGATCAGATGAGAGGAGAAATGGGCTGCAGACCCTGGCCGTCCATGCGTGTTTGGGGACTTAACTTTTTTTCCCCCCCAGACGCTGTTTATTAAAGGTGCCCAGACAATGTTGGGAGGCAGTTGTGCTGCAGTGCCGGACGTTTAAAGTGCAGCCCTCACCGCAGTGAAAATGAATTATTTCATTGGCGGGGAGCCGCCCACACACACACCTGCCACTCAGCGTCCAGGTGCACCCGTTTGCTATTAGCACAAGTTTGAATGTTCAGTCTCAAATTTTTTTTTTTGTTATCAGGCTGCAAACAGTAGGTTTATCATAAAAACGTATTAGCGTTGTCTCTGCCTGCCTCACATGCAAAGATGGGGGGGGTGGTGTGGGGTTAGAAAATGAGGATGGAAGTCTTTGAAGTGTTCCACTGGTGGTTTGAAAGCGCCTCTCACTCTCAGGCTGTCAGCGCCTAACCGAAAGCTCCGTCTGAGGCTGCCATCACCACGCATGGCCGTGCTGCTGCAGTAATGAGTCAGGCAGTTTCAAGGGCACCCACGGCTGCCATCTCCCCCGTGGCTCTCCTCAGTCTGCTTTTCTTTTGGGCTCTCTTTCAGCAGCTCTATCCATTCGCCTTTCTCTTTCTTCCCCGTGCCGTCTGTCTCTGTCTATCTTGGTAAGCTTCATCCTTCTAAAATACGAAGTGGTTTATTCAGTGCCACAAATCTGTTTTGCTGACCGGCTCCTTTGATTAAGCCAGTTCCCAGCCCCATCCAACCCCCCCACCCCAATCAAATGAGTTTCTCCCCAGCCTGGCTGTTTGTCATGGTGCTGTGGCATGAGGCGCTGCTCTCATGCAGAAGTGGGGAACCATTGGGCAAGGCAGATCAGTCACGTTCCATTACAGGAGTCCCAGCAAAAAAATCCTCTCCCTGTAAAAGATCCGTGTTCCTTCTGCTCTCCTTCCTGATAAACGCTGATGCTTGAGGCAGGACAGAGTCTGGCTGCATGTTTACTTCATCCCATCCTGCTGCTAGATTAGCAGATAAACGGATACATGGAGAGGGAAAACGTAAGCTGATGCAGCGCCCATCACGCAGAGCATTTAGTCTAGTTTAGATGATTACTTAACGGAGCAGATGTCTGTGCATCTGCTGTGCACTAGAAAACGTTGACGTGCCCGCTCGACCAAACGAGGCAGACTTTGCACCGTGTCACATGTTTCCAATCGAAATGAAAAATTCTCATTTGCAGATATCGATATTGTGGATTTAGTTCTAAAGCCAAACCTGGAGAGTTTGTTTTGAACGATCCAGGAGAGACAGAGGAAGCAGTTTGTCTGATATGCACCCTAAAGGGTGGGAGTCTGAGGCGCTAATGCAACAGATCGTCAGGCCCCGCTCCAGCTCCCAGCTACTGCTCCACGGTGCAATCAGCCGTGTGTTGGACAAGATCTCTTGGTGACGACGTCAAACGCGCCGTCTCCCAGTTTTGCCATAACATTTTGTATGTGCTTGGCCTGCTGCCGGGGGCCCGTTCTGCCTGGTGTGTGCGAGCCACCTCCTCATCCCAGCTGTGCGTTTTGTGCCGCCGTCGGTCAGGCAGGCCGGACACCAGGGGAGATCTACCCATCGTCTTGGTGAGTGAAAGAAGTGGCGTCTTTAAGTTCTGGGGCTTTGCGGGAAGCTTCGGCGGTGTCCTCGGTGTGAGGCGGAGCGGGACGAGGGTCCTGTGGGGACAAGCTGCTGTGAACGGGGTGGCGTATGCACAGTGGATGTTTCTCATCTTTAACTTCCCCAGAGGCACATCTGACTCTGAATGGTGGCAAACATCAACTGCTGGTTTGGAGATGATGGCTTTTGTCAGACGGTTTTATTTATTTATCTATTTCTAATTCACGAGTCCACGTCTATGCTTTTTAGTTTTGTCTGTTTATTTTCCCGTGTATGTGGCTGGGAGGTGTTTTTCGCTCTCACTGCAGCATTGAGGCTCCGGGTTGATTAGCAGGGGAATTAAGACAGATTACAGAGCCATTGTTCTCAGGGGGTCGTGGCTGGGCAGGACGGGGCTGTAATCTCTCGTAATGCCCCGCGTCCGTGATTTTCTGAAGATGATTTAATTAGGCTTGCTGTTGCCGGTCCTCACTTGAGGCTCCTGGTCACTGCGCTGTAGATGTGAACCCTGGGCCCAACTAGCTGGCCACCAGGAGTAGGGGGGCAGATCGGCTAAATGCTCACCTGTGCTGTCATAATGAGACGGTGGGGCAGTGTTTGTCCTCTCTGCTCAGACCGGGAATGATCGGTCCAGCCGGGTTCTGGAAAAAACTCTTACACGATCCTTGTAGTTACACTTTTGGGATTGTAGTAACGGGGGAGGGGGGTTCTTTTTCTTTTAAACTGATGAGCAACACCCATTGGGACTATACAGAAATACTGTGTTAGCCTAGAAACTGTTATCATTTAAATCACATTCATCATTTACAAGTCCTGTTAAGATAAAAGCTCCTGCTACAGCTATGAATTCTGAGTTGTCACCATAATACACGTTGGGCTCGGCCCTAGGGTCTGTCTACACCCTGGTTCCCCCATTCATCCCGTCTGCACATTAACAGCGGTTTCCTGCTGGTGCCGTCTGCATGTTTTAGCATTTTTTATTTGCTCTTTATTAATAATTTCATATGAAATGCTCTAACGCTAAGATTTAAGTGGGCCACTTCTAATGTGTGAATTCAGTTTGTTTTACGCCAAACGGAGTCTGTCCTGATTTGCTCCAAATTTCTGACTTTGTGTCAAACAACAACCCTGGAAAACTCTAAAAGATTGCTAGAGGAATCCAAATGGTGAGCACCCTGGCTCTGCTTGTTCCCCTCACAATCGCAGTTAT